TAAGAAAAAGCAAGAGACGTAATAGATGACAAAAGTTTAATTTTACAAAGACTGTGAGATGTGTTGGATGAAAATTCAATGTGGAATTTGGCCTTTGTATAAATGTAGTGTCAACACCTCCATTGGCAGATATTTTTTTTCTGGTTGAAAATATACAATGTTTATAGTAAAAGTGAATTCACATTAATGTTCATACGTATTAAATATATTTCATATTGTCCCAACAACAGCAATGGTATGGGTTTGGATTTCTTACATAAAACAGCTGAATACTGAAAATATTAATTAATTGACCCACAGTCTTATAGTCTGATATAGATAGGTACTTTCAAACAAATTTTTTAAAGAAATCGGAAGTCATCTCATTTATTTCTTTTTAGTTTTACTTTTTACCTGGGGTATTACTGGTGAAGTTCTTGGTTTTTTAAACCAAACCTGACTTTATTTTACTGGCACAATGGAAAGAAAAAATTTTTAATTCATTGGTCCTCATGAATATTTGTTGGGTTTCAGGCCGATGGACAGGCGTTAAGGTCGAACACTGTGCATAATCCTAGAGGGAACAGGATACATGAGATGACTACTCTGTCACAGGAATAGAAAGTCACGCAGTATCAAAGAATAAACTATTGTGTTAGTTTTTACTACTTGAGGATATTGTAGCTTTTCCTAGAAAAAAAATGGACTCTTGAACTTTCTCTATTTCGTGTTTAAACATTTATAGTTTTTAACTAGCGGGTGGTTACATAGGAAATTCTTTTGAGTGCTACTTCCTGCAGCATATTATTGATAAACAGAGATCTTATTCAATTTTTTTCTTCTCCTCATAAACTATAGACATGCAAGCTGAGGCAACAGATGTCATTATACAGAGAAATACTGAAATGTCTTTTTTAAGTTTTGATGTAATTTAGGAGCAGTATTATTTAAAGTATTTAGCATAAAAGAATCATGCTACTAAGTACTTGATAAATTTGCCAGTTTTCATGGTATACTCTATTGAAAGCAAATGAAAGTTTAAAGTGAAATATGGAGATTAAAGGAATTCAATTATGAATTTCTCTAACTGGATGTCTTACACTTAATTTAGTTGTCCCCTGCTTTTGCTATAGTAAGGGACTTTAAATCTCATTGGCCTGGCATTCTATCTGTCTGTGTGTCTGTCAGTCTGTCTGTCACAAAAAACTTTTGGTCATAACTTTTGAATGAGAAAAGATAGGGCTTTCATATTTAAGATATGTATTACCTATGACAGAACCTTTTCAAATATACTATGATTTTTTTCACTTTGAAGTTTGACCAACTTTATAAAATATGTAACATTGGTGATAACTTTTGAATGAGAGAAGATAGGGCATTCATCTTTCACATTTGCATTACCTGTTACAAGACCTTTCTGAATGTACCAGGTACTATGGTTTTTGACCCCGAGACTTAACCTCAAAGTGCTAGAGACAAGTCAGTTACAATATGCCATAAATAACTGCATCCGAACGAATAAGACATCAAAAGTGAGGAACCAAAATTCTTTGAATTTACCGGTACTTGTTATACATTGAAACTGCTAAAAATATAACTATTAAAACTGTTAATATTCTGGTAATTTTGTTGCAGATACCATGTAGTTATGCTGTTCAAGTGGCACATCCCAACCAAATAAAACCTAAGTGCTTTTCCTCCTTTTAAAATTCCCTCAGTTTGATCCAATAAGAGCTTTAAGTCCCCCAAATCAAATGTGTCAATAGGTCTGTCGGATGAGAGTCCTGTTTATCATGTTTGCAATCAGATTTCAAATCTATACTTTTTTTCTGTGATGTGTAAGATGCTCATCAGTGATGTTTCCTGTTACAGTTTAACACATCATTTCTTAATTTCTCAACTTCCTCTTTTTTTTTTTTGTGTTTTGTTTTTAGCTCTTCTGGTCAGAGACCAAAAGAGCTGTGATAGTAAGGTGTAAGTCATCTGTCTGTCTGTCTTAGTCTGTCTGTATACAATTTTTCAAAATGCTATTCCTCCTACAGTTTTGGTCTGAATTCAATATAACTTGGGACACAAGTAGACTATACTAAGATACATAATTCTATTTATTGGGTTTTGATTTCCTTGAACAGTGTTGCCATGGTTACTAAAAATAGAAATTTAAGTGAAATACCTTCAAAAGCCTACTCCTCCTACAGTTTTGGCCTGATTTCAAAATAACTTAGCACACAAATAGGCTATACTAAGATAATAATTCTTTTATCAGTTTTGGGTTTCCATGAGTGGTGTTGACAATGGTTATTAAAAATAGAAAATTAAAGAAATACTTTCAAACACCTACTCCTCCTACAGTTTTGGTCTGATTTCAATATAACTTAGCACACAAGTAGGCTATACTAAGATACTTAATTCTTTTTATTGGTTTTTGATTTCCATGAACAGTGTTGCCATGGTTACTAAAAATAGAAATTTATGTGAAATACTTTCAAAAGGCTACTCCTATAGTTTTGGTCTGATTTCAGTATAGCTTAAACAGGGTTAGAAACTCCCTGAAATTACAACTCGCAAATAATTGCGAGTACCAAGAAAGTGCACTCGCAATTTTATAAGACTACTCGCAATTTTCATATAAAGTTAAATTTATATCAATTAAATACATGTAACTTACGGAAAAAGTAACTACTGTACAATACACAAAATACACCTACAGAGTGACTTTTATTTAAATTACTGATTTAAATCAAAAGCATTGTCGTCTGTCATATTATATAATTTTGCTACAGTTTCAATGCCAAAAAATCAACTAGCAAGTTTTTGCGAGTTACCTAATTTTTAACTCGCAATTCTGGAATTCTAACTCGCGTTTTGCGAGTTGTATATAGTGAATTTCGAACCCTGGCTTAACACACAATTAGCTAGCTATACTAAGATACTTAATTCTTTTTACTGGTTTTTGATTTCCATGAACGGTGTTGCCTTAATTACTAAAAATAGAAATTTATGTGAAATATTTTCAGAAGGTTACTCCTCCTACAGTTTTGGTCTGATTTCATTATAACTTGGCCCACAAGTAGACTACACAAAGATACATTTTTTTTAATCAGTTTTTGATTTCGATGAATGGTGTTGCCATGGTTACTAAAAATAGAAATTTTGGTGAAAAACTTTCAAAAGCCTACACCTCCTACATTTTTGGTCTGATTTCAATAAAACTTGACACAAGATACAAAATGCTATATATTAGATTTTGATTTCAATGAACAGTGTTGCCATGGTGCCTAAAAATAGAAATTTCTGTGAAAACATTGAATACGCTTCTCCTCCTACAGTTCTGGTCTGATTTCTATATAACTTAGCACACAAGAGATTAATTGTCTTTATCGTTTTTTGATTTTGATGAAAGATGTTGCCATGGTTTCTAAAAATAGAAATTTCTGTTAAATTCCTCTAACAGTTTTAGTCTGATTGCAGTAAATCTTTCCAAAAAAGAGACTACACCAAGGATCATTATTCTATTTATTGCTGTTGCAAAGTTTCAAGTCAAAGTGCTACTTTTTTCTTCCTTTGTTTTAAGTACAAACCAGTGGAGCTACAGTCTTGTCAGAGATCTCTGGTTTGAAAAAAGACATGTCTTTGATAAATGTAATATTTCCTTCTGGATGAACCTGAAGGAGACAAATTTGTTTTGTATTTTTTTAAATTGTTAAGAGTTTTTGCTTGAAGGTGACTCCACAATAGGGACATCTGCAGTGTTTTGTACTAGATGACAACAATTCTCTGTTTGGAGAACATGTGACAATAGTTGAACTCTGTTCAGATCAGGAAGCACCTTTTTGTTGCACTTTGTTTTTGTTTTTGTTTTAATGTTACAAGTATTTGCAAACAATTTTTCAAGAGTTAGGATGTAAATAAAGAATAAATAGGCAATTTAACGCAGACTGAAGAATTTTTGAGATGTAATTCAGAAATATTACTTCACTGACATGATTTTTTTTAGTGTATTTGCTTACACATTTTGTCAAAAATAGTCCTGCCACATACTATATTGAAGTTTATGCATCTATATTGAGATCACATGATGTCAACAGCATGACTCATATTTAAAAGGGGGGCCACAACAGGTGGGGACAGAACAAAGGAATGTTTTAAAATGTTAATACCGTCAAATTTTGTTATCGCGAACTCAGTGGGGCCAAGAAAAACGTTGAGATATCTGAGGATATGAGATAGCGTGGTTAAAATACCTTTAAAAATTCCAACTCACTTTGACATATCCATGGTATTCAAGACATAATGAGAAAATGAAGTTCAACCATAAGGAATTTGTATCTTTGTTTTGGTGTCTATAAAGAAATAACTTATCTTGGAGGATGTGATATTTCTTGCATGAGAGGCTCGAAGCTAAAGGCTTATGTAATTTATCATAGGCTCCAGAATAGATGAAACTTAAGTGAGTGCTTTCTGACTTAATATAGATTCAAGTTTGTTCAAATCATGGCCCCCTGGGGTAAGGTGGGGCCACAAAAGGAGATCCAAGTTTACATGGGAATATATAGGAAAAAATTTTTAAAATCTTTTTCAGTAGCAACAGGGCCATGATCAGTCATATTAATGTACAAGAGTGCTCAGGTATGCTCATATTTTTTTTTTAATCAATTTGTATCCCTAGGGAGTAGGGTGGTTCACAGTAGGGGATCAAAATTTTACATTGGAATATATAGGGGGAAATATTTCAAAGTCTTCTTTTCAAGGACAGCTAGGTCATGATTACTGAAAAATATATCCAAGCAGCCCCAGGTAGTGCAGATTCAAGTTTGTGCAAATCATGGCCCCTTAGGGTAGGGTGAGGTATGTATTCTATAAGAATTTATGTCAAATGAATCATGGGTAATTATTTAAAACTTTGTTGTCATAGTTTAGTAAACTAAGGAAATTAATTTCCTAATCACAGTAAAGTATTTTTCCCATATTCAGTTTACTCGATTCCAATTCTCAATATGACTCTCATTCTATATTTTCAGAGTCAAGGAATGTCAATTTGGGCAAAAACCCAGTTGTTGCCCCAAGAACTCCTCAAACATGTGTCGAGTTTGTATGAGAGTTCACAGATCCCGATTGAGGTTCGGCATTACTTTGCTGACTGGATAGAGGAACAGCCATGGTAATACAAACCTTTCAATACAGTCAAATCAGCTTATCATGCCCATTATTGTAAAAGATACAGTCAAATCTGCTTATCATGTCCATTATTGAAAAAGATACAGTCAAATCTGCTTATCATATCCCAACATTCTGTTTTAAAGTTAGAGCTTTTCATCTAGTATACAGTCAAATCTGCTTATCATGTCCCAACATTCTGTTCTACAGTTAGAGCTTTTTATCTAGAATACAGTCAAATCTGCTTATCATATCCCAACATTCTGTTTTAAAGTTAGAGCTTTTTATCTAGAATACAGTCAAATCTGCTTATCATATCCCAACATTCTGTTTTAAAGTAAGAGCTCTTTATCTAGTATACAGTCAAATCTGCTTATCATGTCCAACATTCTGTTTTAAAGTTAGAGCTTTTTAGCTCACCTGAGCTGAAAGCTCAAGTGAGCTTTTCTGATCACATTTTGTCCGGCGTCCGTCTGTCCGTCTGTCTGTCTGTCTGTCTGTAAACTTTTCACATTTTCAACTTCTTCTCAAGAACCACTGGGCCAAATTCAACCAAACTTGCCACAAAGCATCCTTGGGTAAAGGGGATTCAAGTTTGTTCAAATGAAGGGCCACGCCCTCTTTCAAGGGGAGATAATTAGGAATTAGTGAAAAAATAATGGCATCATTTAAAAATCTTCTTCTCAAGAACCACTGGGCCAGGAAAGATGAAACTTATGTGGAAACATCCTCTGGTAGTGTAGATTCAAGTTTGTTCAAATCATGACCCCTGGGGGTAGGGTGGGGCCACAATGGGGGATCCAAGTTTTACATAGAAATATATAGGAAAATATCTTTAAAAATCTTCTTCTTAAGAACAGTAAAGCCAAGATTGGTCATATTTATATGGAAGCATCCTCAGGTAGTGTAGATTCAATTTTGTTCAAATCATGACCCCCGGGGGTAGGGTGGGGCCACAATGGGGGATCCAAGTTTTACATAGAAATATATAGGAAAATATCTCTAAAAATCTTCTTCTTAAAAACAGTAAAGCCATGATTGTTCATATTTATATGGAAGCATCCTCAGGTAGTGAAGATTCAAATTTGCTCAAATCGTAACCCCCGGGGGTAGGGTGGGGCCACAATGAAGGATCCAAGTTTTACATAGGAATATATGGGAAAATATCGTTAAAAATCTTCTTCTTAAGAACAGTAAAGCCATGATTGGTCATATTTATATGGAAGCATCCTCAGGTAGTGAAGATTCAAATTTGCTCAAATCATAACCCCCGGGGGTAGGGTGGGGCCACAATGAAGGATCCAAGTTTTACATAGAAATATATAGGAAAATATCTCTAAAAATCTTCTTCTTAAAAACAGTAAAGCCATGATTGGTCATATTTATATGGAAGCATCCTCAGGTAGTGAAGATTCAAATTTGCTCAAAATGTAACCCCCGGGGGTAGGGTGGGGCCACAATGAAGGATCCAAGTCAAGAACAGAAAAGCCATGATTAGTCAAATTGATATGGAGGCATCTTTGGGTAGTGTAGAATGAAATTTGTTCAAATGAGGGCCCCCATGGGTAGGGTGGGGCCACAATGGGGGATCAAATTTTTACAAATGAATATATGGGAAAAAAATCTGCTGCTCAAGAACAACAAAGCCATTTGTTATATTGATATGAAAGCATCATCAGTTTGTTTAAAATTCAACACCCCCCTCCCTATAAACTTTTCAATACTGTACTGATTTTTGCTTTTTTTCCTAGCCAATGTGTGCTCAGGTGAGCGATGTGGCCCATGGGCCTCTTGTTATCTAGTATACAGTCAAATCTGCTTATCATGTCCCAACATTCTGTTTTACAGTAAGAGCTCTTTATCTAGTATACAATCAAATCTGCTTATCATGTCCCAATATTCTGTTCTACAGTTAGAGCTTTTTATCTAGTATACAGTCAAATCTGCTTATCATGTCCCAACATTCTGTTCTTCAGTTAGAGCTCTTTATCTAGAATACAGTCAAATCTGCTTATCATGTCCCAACATTCTGTTCTACAGTTAGAGCTTTTTATCTAGTATACAGTCAAATCTGCTTATCATATCCCAACATTCTGTTTTACAGTAAGAGCTTTTTATCCAGTATACAATCAAATCTGCTTATCATGTCCCAATATCCTGTTATACAGTCAACAGGGGCCTTATTTTGACTTAACTGCAAAGACTATCATCTCTGAGAATTTAAGAATTGATGTCAGTTGACAATAAATATTGTTTTATGATATGTCAAAAGATACAAGTTTTAATTCATAAGTAAGCATAAATCAAATGAAAAATCAAAAAACTTCCATAGTGACTCCCATTCTTGATTTCTCAACAATTCTTTGATATGATTAACATTTTCCAATTAAATGATATGTATGATCAGTAGGGATGGCAATCGAAGACAGAAATGCTAATCGGTTAACCGCAAGACGTTCCGACTGATTAACCGGTTAATCGTATTAAAATTCAATGTCATATTTTCTTGACATGTGTTATATATTTTTTAAGTAACTCTATCCATATACACAAGAAGACTAAAGAAAGACTTTAGAAGTTAGAAACATTCTGTTTACCTTGTTCAGGAAACTACATATGCTAGTACATATGTTTTATTTTAATTCCAATAGACCAAAAAAAAAAAAAAAAACACTACGGAACATGCCCGAGAAATCAGACTGTGACATCGATATTTTTGCAGAGCAGAATATATTCCGCACTGTCACTAAAATCAAAACTAAGCCAGGAATTTCTCTTAATTTACAATGTTTGTTTAGTAATATAATTTGAAAGATGACTGCAAAAGACAGACACCAATTCACAGTGCTCAACGGCGATTTAATTAATGTCATTAAAGAATTTCAAAAAAGTCGCGGTATCGACAAGGTGTTTAATCAGTAATAAACACTTCTCAAACTGACCAATTAGCCCGCAATCTCAATCTGGAGAACCATAATTACCACCAATTCCAGGCGCTAGCCAGCATGGAAATAAAGTGTACGCAGAGAACGGAAGGGGGGGGGTCCAACTTTCAGAAATCAAAATTTTATTAATACATTACCAAATTGCCATGATTTAACTATACTACAACAAAAAGGGGGGGGGCCACCCTTTCAATAAACATTTTCAATAGTAATAGGTTAGGTATGGAAATAAGTAGGGGCAGGCCACCCCCTGCCCCCCTATACTACGTGCCTGCTGGTGAGGGCCCAGAAGCTCCGAGTTTTACCAAATATTTCATTCATTTTCTTGCAAAATATGAATATTGTCATTTAGCTTTTGTTTAGAAAATAAAAGACATTATATTAATATTTATTGTTTTAACGCAAAATTAATACTTCCTTGAAATCTTATTGTACATGATGTTAGGATTAATATTTAACCGATATATTGGTATCATATACTCTTTTTTAACGTTCAAAAACACGTACACTAAAAGTTAATTATTAACAAAAAATATCGTAATATAAATCATACTAGTATACTAGTAGATCAGAGCATTCAACGATGTGTTAGAAATTTAATTTTTAAAAGATCTTTAAAAAAAATAATCAGTGTATTAAAGAACAATTAAAAATTAATGGATGATTTATTTGGATTTGGCAATGATTCAATAGAGGAATTCAAATTTTATTATATAATTGTGATAAAATTCGAACGAAACAGTATGACACAAACACAGATATTTGTTGGATGGTACAGAACGGAGATTTTTTCTTCGAATACCCCCCCTCTCTCCTTTTTTTTCCTTTTTTTTTGAAAATGATGTGTACGCACTTGCGTATTTGCAGCTATGCCCCTGAATTCAGCTTAACAGATACATGTATGTCGATATGCTAAATTATTAACGTTTATGCGCAGGTGTCCTTTATTTTTAAATGAATTTTAAAAAATTGCGTTCAATTTTACATATTTATTATTTTTTTTACGACTAACCGATTACAGATTTTTTAACCGATTACCATCGTTCCGACCGAGTAATCGGTTAACTGGTTACAAATTGCCATCCCTAATGATCAGTGGAGGTTGATTTGTTTTATAGTATTATTACGCATTAGCAATCATACTTTTACAACAGCTGTCATACACAAACTGCTTTGAAGAGAAAAGATGTCATTAGATTTTATTTATTTACTGTGTGATTAAGAAAGATGAAATGGAAAAATTTCAAACAGTTCTTCCCTTAGGGTCATTTCCTCCTTTATGATTTGATAACATCTCATTTCAATCAGTTTTTATTACTTATTTTTAGGGGACAGATTGACGAGAGCAATCCTACACAGCGAGACCAGCTGTTTGCAGAGCAGCTTCTGAACAAACTCATAGAAGAAATAGAAAACAAATCTGCAGAACTTCCACAGCAAAATGAGTACTTCTTACTCAAGCTCAAGTTTCAGGAAGTGGCAAATCAGTTTAGGGTAGGTTAGATATAAAACAGAGCATGACATGCTCTTTTTGGCCCACCTAAGCCAAATGCCCAAGTGATCTTCTGTGATCGAAATTTGTCTGTTGTCTGTCGTGGTAAACTTATTACATTTTCATCTTCTTCTCCAGAACCACTGGGCTGCTTTCAACCAAACTAAAAACAAAGTATGCTTGGGAAAAGGGTGTTCTAATTTGTTCATATAAATGGCCATGCCCTCTTTCATTGGGAGATAATCAAGAAAAGACTGCAATAGGATGGGTCATTTAAAATTTTTTAAAGATCCAAGGGGTCAGAAAAGATGAAACTTGTGTGAACGCTTTCTGAAATGGTGTAGATTCAAGTTGAAATCATGGTCTCCAGGGGTAGGGTGGGGATACAATATGGGATTAAAGTTTTGCTCATACTTCAGGTAGTGCAGATTAATATACATGTATAACGAGTGTAAGCATATTTGCAACTGTTTATTCCCATATAAACAAACAAAGAAAAATATTTCCGTGTTTATATTTAAGGAATAATGGTCTAGTTTTTTTTTTTTTTGTTCTGTAAGTTGGTCAAAGAGTTTGTTCACGTGATAATTTGCATAAATGCTGAAGGGTTAATGCATTAAATTATCATGTGAGAGAACTGTTCAATAATTAATTAGAATCCCATCCAGTGTGTTACTAGCCGTAAACGAGAAGGCAGTGTTTCGTGACGAGTAAATGGCTTTATATATAACACTGTTTCCTTATTTATAGTTTTATCTCAAACATAGCCATTTGAAAATGTGAATATGAAATGATAAATTTAGTTTTGGATATGATTTAAGTGCTTTATGCTTTATGAAATGATTGTTAGTTTTACTAAGGTGTTGAAATTTTCATGTGAAGGCATATTGCTTTGTACCTGTGGATTGGTGCATCTGTATGTTGATTGGTCTGTCGGTAGACCAAATGTTGTCCACTCAATATCATGAGAAGAACCATTTGCTTGACAGACATCAAACTTGGTATACTGGTACCCCCCCCCCCCCCCCCCAAGAGTAGATGATCCCTATCTTAGATCAAAGGTTTAGGGTCAAACTACTCTAGATACATATAGAAAATTGTGTTCATTCAATATCTTGAGAATCATTTGCTTGACAGACATCAAAATTGGTTCATGGGCTCCCTTTAAAGATTAGATGACCCATATTGAATTTGAGGTTACAAAGTCAAAGGTCAAGGGCCAAACTGGACGTAGGAATATAATGACCACTCAATATCTTGAGAACCCTTTGACAGACTTTAGGCTTGGTGTACTGTTTTCAATTGAGGAGTAGAGACCCCAATAGATTTTAAGGTCAAGGTCAAATTGGGCTTAAGAATATATACGTCTGCTCAGTATCTTGAGAACCCTTTGCTAGACAGAGAACAACTTGGTACTCTGATTTCCTTTAAGGTGTAGATGACCCCTATATTTTTTTAGGTCACAAGATCAAAGGTCAGGGGTCAATCTGGACATAGGAAGGCACTGACTGCTCATTATCTTGAGAACCTTTTGCTTGACACACATGGACCTAGGTAAACTGGTTTCTCTTAAGGAGTTGATGACCTCTATTGATTTTGAGGTCAAAAAATCAAATGTTAAGGATCAAACTGGATGTAGGAAAATATTGACCACTCTATATCTTGAGAACCCTGTCCTTGACAAACCTCAAACTTGGTACACTGGTTTCTCCTAAGGAGTAGTTGACCACTGTAGATTTTGGAGCTCAAGAGGTCAAAAGGTCAATGACCATTAGCAAAATGATGTATCCTTTATCAAGTTTTAGCTATTTGTCTCATTTTTTGCTATTCAGTTTGGCTTGTGACATATTCCTGTATCAAGGTTTGACTCTATTTCTATTCAGAGCTAGCCTATGAAGTCTGTGACATGTCCTTTTTCCTGATATTGTTATTTCTGTCTTGTTTATGTTACAGTCGCAGTACTCCCAGAGTCCGCTGGAACTCGTACGTACGATCAAGAGGAACCTGGCAACAGAGGAAGCTTTGGTCCGTCAACATGAAAACGTAAGATCTGGGATACATCTGTAATACAGGATAATTTGATATATCTCAAATATAGGATCAAATAAAAGATCTCAAATACAGGGCCATGTAAGATCTATACAGGAACATAAGATCTCTAATACAGGATCAAGACCTCTAGTACATGATCCCATAAGATCTCTATTTATACAGAGTCATGTAAGATCTCTCAAAACAGGAAAACTTAAGATTTCTTATACAAGATAACTTCAGATCACTTATGCAGGATTATGAAATCTCCCCAATACCGGATACCGTAAGATCTCCAATACTTGTTAACTTAAGATCTCTATTACTTGATAACTTAAGATCTCTAATACAGGATAATGTAGATCTCTTATGAATATTTGTATGAATTTTAAAGAATTCATTCATGCCATATGATATAGTGTATAAGAATATAAGTATACTCAATAAGTTGGGGGAAAATAAACTGAAAATATATGTATGATTTCACAGAGTATAGAAATGGTTGAGAACTTGCACTGTGTGAGATTTGGGATATAAGACAGTATAACTTATCATTAGAATTAATGTAAAATCTGAAGTGTTCATGTGAGGAGTTTTATACAATGAAATAAAGAAAGCTTGACACGTGCTGGTTGCCATCTAGACATGCTTAGTATTAAATCTCTGAAATATCAGTCAAATTGGAGATATATAAAATTTGAATTTTTTTATATTTCAGCCTGATGCATCGGTGAGTTATCCTTGAATTTTTAAAAAAGATCCATCATTTCCACTGTAAAATTTTTATTGCATTTATAAACCTCCAAGGCAAGAATTCTTCATAACAAAAATAAGACTAAGTTATACAGAGTGGATCATTGAAGTCATTTTGGGACCAATTTATTGCAGATGCTTTAGATATCAAACTATATTAACTTGGTAATAATATCGATTCATTAATAAATAATGATTCCTAAATTAGAATAAGAATTTTATGTGTAAGTTATTGACTAACACATCAATGAAGGAACACGAAGCATTATGCAGTTTCTATTCCTCCTAGGTGCCATACACTGCCAGATCATTTTACATGCAACTGCATGACATAAATTTTAAATTCATTGTATAATTAAGCTTTGTTCTATATTTTAAGAGATGATTCAGTGGCAGAGAAGGTCAATTTTTACTCTAATATCAGAGGAATAGAAATGCTGTGTTGTGCTTAATTGTTTTAACTTACCATGAGTTGCACATATACCAGTTACTTAATAAATGGAAAGTTAACTGGTTAACTTAGCATGAAGGTCCATATTACCATCAAGTTAAGTGAAGGGTGACTCAGACTAACTTTAATGGCTATATGCACTGGGACTTGTACCTATGTGTTTAAGTGAGCTTTGGGTTTTTGAATCGGCCCTGAACAAGTTAAAAATATCTGTGAAGTATTTGATCTGTGAAATTATTTCAAATTATTTACTCCTAGTATGTACAGTTTAGACTGATTTAAAAAAAAACTTACAAGTCAAGAAGGCTACATCAAAATACATAATTCTATATGATTGCGCCCATTGGAAAAGGGTGCTTATGGCATTTTTACTAAAACAGAGAAATAACGTCATAAAGATGTGACGTTGCAGAGTGACGGTGAACGTCAACGCAATTTTTTTTAACCACGTGTTTACGTTTTGACACTTACTTTTGCCGTACATGTGAATATTGATAATTTAAAAAATATTTTCGTTCGTATATTTAATTTTTGTCTGAATCTCTATGTCCACTGGTTTTAATAAAGATATGACAGCATTTTATTCGAGATCGGTTTCTTTACTAGTAGTTAAGATCGAGCTATATATGTAGGTACAGCATAGTCTCTAATCTATAATTCATTACTGTCCTAAGCTTCAGACAGGGTGATTGACTGGCGTGTTGAATATATGGACGAATGAATGCGATTTTATATATGTGGACCAGTTTCAGGATACATGCTAAACACGGACATTATTATAATATCGCAAAGGATATTGATCCGCTCCACCATTCACAACATGTATTGAATCATCGGTGCATGTTGCATAAACATTTGTTGTAAGTTGTTTTTATGTGATTTATTTAGTCAAAAATTGAAGTTTGGCTAACTTCTTACAGAAAAGAAAAGCATAGTTATGATGAATGCTTCACAGATCTAGAAAAATACACAAGAATGACGATAGTAGACGATATATATATATAATTTTGTTTTGAGTGAATATTTTTGTTTCTCACGTCCACTTTCGATATTTTTTTAAGCATTTAAATGTAACAAAAACTACCATACGAAAGAAAACATTACTTTAAAAAAAGAATGAACAAGTTCATGTTTTAAATTGATATGAGAGATAGAGAGAGGGAGAGAGAGAGAGAAAGTGGTTACATTGGATCCAATTTATTACATGTAATATATGTATAAAGAAATGTGAAACTTAGTGAGAAGACGGATTTTCAAAACAATTTAATTATTAAAAAATGAGATGAAATCCTTGTTTTCTAAAGTATGCCTATAACTTTTCAGGAACTCAAATTTTTTTTTTTTTTGGTACTCCTTCAATGCGTTTATATGAAGATCAAAGGTTTAGGTATCATCTGCAATTTTTTTTCTTCACTGTAGCCAATATGATCTTTGTTCTTCATTATATCTATGCAGTTTAAGTCTTTACAGTCATACTATTACACGTTTTATTAATGATATATAAGCTCAGTTATCGATTTGGAATAATATTGCTTATCTTGCCTTCGAATTATGTAAACGTATTTTTTTTTTATTCTTTTGTAAAATGATGCCTTAGAATTACACGTAGTTTAATTTGGGTTTTATTTGTGTATGTTCTAAAATACTACAAATACACTGCACAAAACATGAACATTATGCTTGCAAGGTTTTTATTTTGGGGGCAGACATGGGGGATGGGGACATTTTGAATTACTCTGTCAGATGTAAAACTTTACATATCTATGTCTCTGGCATGGGGCCAGAATGAAATTCATTAAAACTTCATTTGGATTGATAACATATTTGTTTTACTTATTAAGCTTCGACATAACTCACTTTAGAATTTCATATGAGAATGGAACTGAAGGGGAGGGAGTGTTGAAATTCTGAAATTCTTTTTGACACCATTGATTAATAACAATATACCTCCATGTACTACTTTGAAAAAAATCCGCCATTTCAAAACTCGGCCAGTCAGGAAATATTACATACATGTAACAGACACATTTAACTGGACATGCACATTATAAGTCTGATTTCAAATTTAATATAATTAAAGTTTAACTATAAATTACACAGCGTGATTCATTAAAACAACGTGTATATAATTATTTCTAACTTATTTATTTGTTACATCTAAGTTATTCAATTTAAGGAAATGTATAGATCGAAAAATCGATTTCACAGTTTAATTCGGATTAATTCATTTTAAATGATAACGAAAATGCCCGAAATCAATTACTTGTCTATTTCTAAATTATTTTCATTTTCGCAAAATGAAATTCAATTGTTATTCTTCGGTGCCATTTCATTCATTGATAGCAGTCAAGTTCCTACTTCCGGGTATGTGGAGCCTGACCAATGATCGCTGATTGTTTATGAAAATGACATTGTTTATACATGTAATTAAATAAAGAGAGAAAAGGGTGCAAAAATAGATTGAAGAATAATTTTCCTTTATTAATTTTAAACTATCTAGGTGGTTTAAATCGTTGTGTGTGTGGGGGGAGGGGGGCATTAAGGAAGCTTTTGAAAACTGCTATTAAGCTCATATTAACTATAGGTATGTCATTAAACTTTTTAACTCTAACCCCACCCACCCCATCCATTCCCTAAATAATCACCACCGGAAATCCTGGAATTGCCCCTTAGTTTATTCATGCATGTGAACTGTAGCTCATTTAATCAGCCTGTTTAATAAATAAATAATTAAAAATGTTCAATGCTGGAATTGAAAAAGGGGTATTGTGTTAATTAAAATAATGATTATTTTATTACCATATTCAAGACAGAAGTCCTTCCATGTCTTTGTTTGAAAAAATTTTGTGGAATGTCCTTAAAATTGTTGAATATTAGTAAAACATTACAAATTACATTTTCTGTCTTTATCATGTTTATATTTAGAAAATGAAAAAAAATATATATTTTACACTACCCGGTACCTTCTAGATTACTATTGTTCCCAAGGACATTTTTTATTTTTACCTTTGGGAAGATATATCAGATTTATACTTATTTTACATGGCCGGAGGAACCGGGGGGGGGGGGGGGGGCCAAAAATTTTGCCGAATATAGAATACATTAGACGACATAGGTACCATATGCTTGTGCCCCCTCAATAATAACGCCTGATGACCTTTTTTTTCTTCGCTTTTCAAGGAATTTTTGGTAGTTGATAGTGCCTCCCAACTGAAATTGCTTCCTACAGGCCTGTTTCAAATAACAAAAAATTGATATCTTTGCCCATCGAGAGCCAATATTTAAAATGAAATGACTTTCGAGTTAATCCTATATATTTCCTATTTCCTATATATTTGCAAAACAATTTTGTTTGGAAGTCGCACACTTCTGAGGTATAAATTTCCTGTCGTCCCAACATGAGCGAAGTGTATACAACAAACAACTCAAACACTCATAATTCTATACCGTTGCTGGAACTACTTATAACAACTATTTATAAATTAACAAGAAAATGAATTTAAAAAAAGGATTCTATACATACATATATTAGTAACGTTACACTAAAAAAAAAAAAATCATAGTCACGGTTCACTCCGAAAACGTTTGACGTTTGACGTTGGTGTGAAAGTAACATGACGTCATGATTTCACGTTGAAATATCATTGATATAAATGAAGAAAAAACATACTTAGAGTTGGAGTAAGTCCATAAAAATTGAGATTTAACAACTCCTAACGTTGTTCTATCAAAATCCATGAAAAAATCAAAATGTGTAAAAATTGCCATAAGCACCCTTTTCCCATGGGCGCAATCATATCATTTTAAACATCAGATATGGTAGATGTGAAACTAGCAGATAAAAATCTTTGGGATAGTAATTGTTTTAAGGATATGAGTTCATTCATTGTTAACAAAAGTTTATTCATGTGTACCAATAAAAATTCCATGAAGCTTTAGAGTGATTAAAATAAATGTAATGGATTTTGTCAGAGGATGCTTATTATATTTTTTTCTAGCTATAATTGATCAATTTTAATATTTACAAAGGCATATATTTCAAAGAAGTGCATTGTTTCTGATTATCTCTTCCGCTAGCCTACAACAGTTCCAATGCCTGGTTTTGACAAAGATAAACTCATCATGTCCAAGATTGAAAGTGTTGGAGTGCAAGTATCTGTAAGTATATGTATCAAAAGGTCACAAATATTTCTGAGAAAGAACTTAATGGGTTATTGACATCATTTGATCAGGTGTACTCTAGCTGATATCTTATCAGGTGTATTGATTTGTTAGATATCTGCAGAAAAGTGGAAATTTTTTCACAGTTTATGGATATGTAGGGTAAATGTGATTTATATGAAGAAAAAAATTTAAAAATCAGCCTTTGCAGTAAAATAACAATTACGAGAGAATATTGTGACATTACCTGGTAGACGAAAGTGACACTGGGACTACGAGATCACAGATAAAAGCTGTGTTTTAAATCAGATTTACGCTTGCTAAACAACGACAAAGTGGATATAACATGACTCTTTGATTAAATATTACACAGTGTGCATCTCTTAAATGTACTTCACAAAGAGAAGTTGTGACCTGAAAATAAATTTTACTTTGGCCACATCAATTTAGATTGAGGAAATTGAATATAAATCCTTTTTATCTTTTTGTGAAGATGTTCAGCATTATCCCCAAATATTTTTTGTTCACTGAGTTAAATATCATTTTGGAACAAATATAATTTTTTACATTTAAATGTAATAGAGTAAATGTAATTTTCATGCCCAGGTGTATTAGGGGAGAATAATATTTTGAGATTGCAAATATTGAACCAGCTTGGCTGCTACTGTAAATGTATTACATTTGGCTGTGTATTCTTTTTAGTGGCTTTGGTGGAACACCACAACGCTAAGTGTCTTGCATGCCACATATACACATAAATAAGAATATAAAGAAATGCGCTAAATCAAATCTACGCTAACATATTCAAAAATCAATTTCCGCCAAATATACGCATACATGCTAAATATAGTACATTTACAGTATTTTGTACCCAGGTTCACTTGCTTGGTGTGAAGTAATGAACCCCTCCTGTAAAATATTATCCCCTGTGTTTGTAATGTTACAAAAGCTATTACATGACTTGTATATATTGACCTGGGGTTAAAAATTCTGAAACAAAGTGTTGACTCCCCTCCACTTACAATACAGCTGTATTTTGCAGTAAGGAATTATTGAACCCCCTCTAATGTTTAGGGGGATGGAATCAGGACATCGTGGCAAGTATTGATACCACTCTCCAGCTTAATGCTTATGGGGAGGGGGTTCAAGATGCTATGGCTGAAACCAATCATTCAAATTTATTGTTTAAAGGGGGAGGGGGTTGTAAAGATATTTTGGGTATAAAACGATTGGCACACAACTCACCTCCGTCCCCTTAGATTCATGCTAAGAGGAGATGCTTAAAGATATTATAAATACAAAGTTTGATTTTTTGAACTTTGCTACATTGGGACTCATTTTGTTTGGATTTTGTAGGAGTCGGAGAGGATGGTCAAAGAGCTAACAGATAAACAGGAAGTGTTTACAATTAACTACCAAAAACAGCTTCAGATCAACAGTGAGTGCATAGACTGGCATATAAACTTAGTATGAATTGAATTCTTTTTCAAAATATAATTATGTTATGTAATCAAATTTAAGGTCGATTAAATCAGACATGTTCAGAGAAATACCTAGCTACCCTGTCACCAGAGGAAATTCAGCGAGTGACAGAGATGAGAAAAAATCTGGAAAAGCAGAAAAAGGACTTTGAATCTGTGTTAGCTAAGGGAGCTCAAACGCTCATCAATGCCAGAGTGGTACGTACACGCTTAAGAAGTCAAAATATTCAGTGAATTCTTAAATGAGAGTTTTAATATCACAAGAGTCACTGAGGTGCTCTTGTGTACCGGGTAATTCATATTTATTTTTCTCAATACAACTTGCAATTTTGTGAAGTTTTAAAAAGTTTATGATTCTAAAACTAAGGAATCCATTCTAACAATTTAAAATTGATAAATGTAGCAGAATAAGCAAAAAGGGGACCAAATTAATGAATTTATTGTCAGTGTCACCCCCATCAAGGAGCAGCTAAGGAGTAAGACCAAAACTGAAAAAAATGATATTGTACACTCTTACTGATTGCCTGATTATTGGAAAGAACATGTACTGAATTTTAAGTTTTAACATGAGAAACAAAGCATGTGACATAAATGTAGGTACTGTAGACAGGAAGTCTATCTAGATACTCAGTAGACCATGAAAGCCTCTTGTTTTGTAACATATTTTATTTTATATGCATGAAGTGTTAGTATTTTATGTAAGTAAGCAATCCTTCACTTTTACTATTAAGTTTTATCTTACAATAATTTACATATTGTTGTTGATATTGACAGGATAGTGATACCTTTTCAATGATAGGAAGCAGTATCTTGATACATATATTTGCTAATCAGAAATCTTGCCTTTTTTACATACATGTACATATAGTAGAAAGCTACATGTAAAATAAGATTTTTGCAGAATTTTTTGTTTACACAGAAAACCCTAACAGTACAAAACACTTTCAAACAACTTCATTTAAAAATTTCAATTCTACAAATTTATACATTCCTTGTTGATCATGTTAAGTGCAGGACCAAAATTATTGCCCAAAAATAGAAAAGAAATTGCTTCTGAAATCATTAATGTGCCAGTATATACCTGTATTTATAGGAGATTGCTGAGAAGTTGAGTAAGAATTTTGAGGCTCTTGAGGAGGTAAGACATCAGGTGGTCGACCAGGAGCTGATAGAATGGAAGCGTCAACAGCAGCTGGCAGGAAACGGAGCCCCATTTGATCCTCAGTTACTGGATAACTTACAGAAATGGTAACATAACTCTCTCTGATTTCCTCAGTGAACTGGCTTTAACTATTGTGGTGTAGTGAGGGGGACTCTATTTTGATGTATTTATTGATAATTACCACTGTTAATGAGTCAGCACTACAAGAACAGAGATAGATTAATTTAAATTTGAATGTTAAACATCAGGAACTTTATTTTCATGTTATTACTTGAGACCATCTGTTCACAAAAATTTCATACGTATGTTTGTATTTATATGAAAGAATACATACACAGTAACCAATATTTATTTAAATTTTGTCTAAAAAGAAAATACTAATAAACTTTCCCTCAAAAATACCATGTAATGGGTTATTTTTTTTGATAATCCAATTTTCACTTTCTTTTTGAGTATTTTTATATAGGAAAAAATAGATTCACTTAAAATTGTCATGAGTTATGTTCCATATAGATTATATGAATAACTCTAATACACTGGAAGAATCGAAAAAATAGACTACACAAATTTTAAATAATCATGTTTTGGAATATTTTTTTAAAAAAATGTGACATGCAGGAAAAAAAATCCATTATACAGTAAGGTTTTGTGAAAAACTATCAATAATCTATAGTACAACCATTGGTTGTTGCCACTTTTAAAGTGAACATACCACTTCTAGGGGTCATGCTGGATTTAATTTTAGCTGTTTATAATTATACATTGTATTACAATGGAGTTTCCACTATTGAGATAGAAATTTTGGTGAATTACAACTGCATGTTTTTATTATGATTGTTATGTGGAGTCACTACTGTTTGAGTGATGTATCCACATTTTGGATAGAGATCTTGGTGGCTTATAGCTGTTATTTTGACTATTATGGGTGGAGTCAGCAGTGTTAGGGTGGAGAATCCACTAACTGTAAAGAGATATTAATGGATTTTAACGTTGTTATTATGATCATTAGGATGCTGTTAGCTGTTAGGTTGGAGTTTCTGCTACATATATTTGGATACAGATCTTGGTGGATTATAACTTGATTATTATGTTTGGTAGGGTTGAGTCCACGGTGGATCTGGTGTGGAGGAGCAGACAACAGGTGATTAAACTGGAAGGACTGTGTAGCAGCATTCCACTCCAGCTGCCAAACGGGAAAGATGAAGACGTGTCAGTTCTAAACAATAAAATTACCAGCATTCTGTCTTCCATTGTGACAAGGTATGTCAACATTTAACATCAAACCTTTGTGGATATAATGGTCTCTGCTAAGCCAAAACTTACACATCTCTCATATCAATGATGAATAGTTTTTCCCTTTGAATTTCGTTTGCTGCTATAAATACCAATCTCAGTGGCGCATATGCCAAATTATTTTTTATCAAACATTTCAGCACATTTATTGTTGAACACCAGCCTCCACAGGTTTTAAAGAGAGATTCTAGATTCAGTGCTCGGGTTCGTCTTCTGGTGGGAGGCAAACTAACCATCCACCTGACCCCTCCAACTGTGACTGCCTCCATTATCAGGTGAGCTAAATATGTCATGCAAACTAACCATTCACCTGACCCCTCCAAGTGTAACCGCCTCAATATGTCAGGACTGACCCCTCCAACTGTGACCGCCTCCATTATCAGGTGAGCTAAATATGTCAGGCAAACTGACCATCCATCTGATCCCTCCAACTGTGACTGCCCCCATTATCAGTTGAGCTAAATATGTCAGGACCTACCCCTCCAGCTGTGACCGCCTCACAGTACGTCAGGCAAACTGACCATCCATCTGACCACTCCAACTGTGACTGCCTCCATCAGATGAGCTAAATATGTCAGGAGACTTCTGATCAGACCCTGGATATTTACTTATTTAACTGAGATTCGTATTTTAACATTTTCGGCACTGTAATTCAACTTCATGGCCAGAATATAAATTTACAAAAAGTTTTAATACTTCTTCACACTCTAGTTAGTCAATTACCTATAAATGTGATTGATTTAGAATATGCTAAAATTTATCCATACATTTAAAGTGTATAATTATGCTGCATTGCAAAAAAAAAAAGAAGATATTTTAAGCAATTTATTATAAGAATAATTGAGATTTTGTTTGACTGTAAAAAATATGAAATAAAACAAAAAATATTTTACACATTATTGTAGTGTACTTTTTCTTCTTAGCTCTGCAGTACATGTATGTTGTTGATATATTTTATTCTCTTACTGGTTTAATATCAAACTATTACATTGGTGGATCTAACAGAAGTGTGTCATAGAAATGTCTGGGGTAACAGACAGGGTCACCACGATTCATATATACATCCTGTTCTTATTACAGTGAAGCCCAGGCAAAGCTTTTGTTGAGGGGCCCCAATAGACGTCCAGAGAATAACTGTGGGAAGATCCTCAACAACTCAGGCACAATGGAATTCCAACCTCAGAAAGGAGAACTCAGTATCGAGTTCAGGAATATGGTTAGGACCTCTACATTGTTTTGTCTTCGAGACATTTGTTGCATTTAAATTTTAAAAATCTCTTCAGAAAATGTCTTCAGAATTCAGTTTGATATAACAGAATTAGAAATTTTGATTTTTCTCCGTTTTCTTACAAATGTCCAAACCTCTCCTTGTGAAGCTGAAGTTTGGATTCCGATATGATATTTCTTGAGGGAAAGTGCTAAAATATTTATTATGAGTAAACTTTTCACTCCTTAGTTCATCTGATGTAGAATTTCAGTGTAGTACAGTTGTACTGATTGGTCTGTTGATACAGTTGTACTGATGGTCTGATTGGTCTGTTGATACGGTTGTACTGATTGTTCTGTTGATACAGTTGTAGTGATGGTCTGATTGGTCTCTTGATACAGTTGTACTGATTGGTCTGTTGGTACAGTTGTAGTGATGGTCTATTGGTACAGTTATACTGATTGGTCTGTTGATACAGTTGTACTGATTGGTCTATTGGTACAGTTATACTGATTGGTCTGTTGATACAGTTGTACTGATTGGTCTATTGGTACAGTTATACTGATTGGTCTGTTGATACAGTTGTACTGATGGTCTATTGGTACAGTTGTACTGATGGTCTGATTGGTCTGTTGATACAGTTGTACTGATTGGTCTGTTGGTACAGTTGTACTGATGGTCTGATTGGTCTGTCGATACAGTTGTACTGATGGTCTATTGGTACAGTACGTTGTACTGATGGTCTGATTGGTCTGTTGATACAGTTGTACTGATGGTCTGATTGGTCTGTTGATACAGTTGCACTGATGGTCTGATTGGTCTGTTGATACAGTTGTACTGATGGTCTATTGGTACAGTACGTTGTACTGATGGTCTGATTGGTCTGTTGATACAGTTGTACTGATTGGTCTGTTGATACAGTTGTACTGATTGGTCTGTTGATACAGTTGTACTGATTGGTCTGTTGATACAGTTGTACTGATTGGTCTGTTGATACAGTTATACTGATTGGTCTGTTGATACAGTTGTACTGATGGTCTATTGGTGCAGTTGTACTGATTGATCTGTTGATACAGTTATACTGATTGGTCTGTTGATACAGTTGTACTGATGGTCTATTGGTGCAGTTGTACTGATTGATCTGTTGATACAGTTGTACTGATTGGTCTGTTGATACAGTTGTACTGATGGTCTATTGGTACAGTTGTACTGATTGGTCTGTTGATACAGTTGTACTGATTGGTCTGTTGATACAGTTGTACTGATGGTCTATTGGTACAGTTGTACTGATTGGTCTGTTGATACAGTTGTACTGATTGGTCTGTTGATACAGTTATACTGATTGGTCTGTTGATACAGTTGTACTGATGGTCTATTGGTGCAGTTGTACTGATTGATCTGTTGATACAGTTGTAGTGATTGGTCTGTTGATACAGTTATACTGATTGGTCTGTTGATACAGTTGTACTAATTGGTCTGTTGATACAGTTGTACTGATTGGTCTATTTTGCTGTTTACAGATTCTGAAGTCAATTAAAAGAGCAGAGAAGAGAGGAACAGAGGTGAGGGAACTTCATGTTCTCCTCAACAGCTGATTCAGTTTACAACAACAGTAGTTTGCTAAGTTTTCTCCAGTAATATATTGAAATGGTCAAAACAAATCCATCCAGTAAAATTTGTGAATTTTTGTATTGTTAATGGTGATATACAATAGCAAAATTCATAATTTTTTTCTCACCTGTAAATACAAATTAACTAACTTGCAAAAATAAGGTGCCCTGAAAATTTGGTGATCTACAGTGTTAATTATACCCCCCTTTATTCCCTAACACATGAAATGGGGGACTACAGAAGAAATGCAGATAAATTTTCATGAAATAGTATTTAAAAAAGTATGGTCGTATTTATTCCCACATATTCAAAAAAGTCCCCACCCCCCAAAAAAAATTCTCTAGATGCTTAAGTTCTGGAAATTTGTATCGCATCTTAAATTTATTGATCACATGAAGTAGGATTTTTTATTTATTTAGAATACAAATTAAAAAGTATTTTAAATTTAATATTTACTGGATAATATATACTATGCAATCAGCATAATATGTGCACCTAGGAAATAAAGGTTCCTTCTTAAAAGCTTGGTTTTTGACACTTAGTACAATTTCCCCCCCATATTTCATAAGGTGAAAAATAATTGAGACAAGTTATACAATTTATTGATTTAATTTCTAGGCTGTGACAGAGGAGAAATTCTGTATTTTGTTCCAAAGTTCCTTCCATTTAGGAATGACAGTAAATGAGCTACAGTTTGAGGTTTGGGTGAGTGTTCAGCTTCTATACATGTACATTTACATGTATTTATACTGTATATTTAGAAGTTCAGTGAGGTTAAAACTTGCAAAATTAACACAAAGTCAAATAAAGATGTGCTAAGCATGCATTATGGACCATTGTTATTAGGGATATCAATTTTGTCAATAATTCATATTCGAATATTCAATGAAAGTATTCGAATGTATTCGAATATTCGATAAAATCTGGTTTATTTTAAATGTGCATCATCCTACTTTCATGAAACATTTAGCGTAGGTATTCTTATATTGGAAGTAAAATTGTATGAAGACTTTTGTAGATGTACAATAAGGAATAGTAAATTAAACGGGGATGATTCCAGCAATGTTCTAATCAAAATTTATTAATCAGTGTACTTTTATTTTTTATGAAATCTGAAAAACACCGAATATTCGAATCTTAAATTCATATTCGAATATCAACTCATCGAATGAATATTCGAATGTTCGAATATTCGTTGACACCCCTAATTGTTGTATGTGGGTAGTGAAGGAGTAGGACAGTATTAAATTCATGAGTCTCTTGTTTTAGAGAAAGGCTCAGATTGAAAGAACGAGTGCACTTATGGGCCCCGGTAAAATGTGAAAAAAGTATCAAATTAAGCATAATTTTCCATCTCAGATCATCGATTGATATCTAAACCATAAGATTCAACAAATTTTATCACTGAAATTCATGAATATACGAAGAGCAAAGCCATACAATGTGGTAGGGGTCAGCCAACATTTGTGATTTTCTATAGTAAATCAAGGACAGTCATTCATTTCAAAGCTTTTGTTTACTATCAGCCTAACTTTGTACAAACTTGTGCGATTGACAAAAAACGCATTCTACATTTATAAAACTTGTGTGAAAGTAGGAAATTTGTACAAGATAAGGCTTGTACTCAAAATATTAAAAATGTATGAAAAGTTCAATGTTTTTCCTATAGCAAGCAAGAGCTATTTACCTGTATGACCTATGTTGAACCCAACCGTGGAGTAAATTATTTAAAATACCGGCAGTTAACTGAGTTCTACCCACGTAAACATTCCTCAAAGATGCTCACTGTAAAAGATAGCCACGTTTTGTATCATATAGAAGTTGTGCTGCATAGAGAAGTTTGTATGTAATTAGTTTTAGGGACATGGGAGGGTTAGGAGAGTTTAGTGTCGTTAAAATTTCATCATAAATAAAGCGTCAAACATTTTAAAATTCATGCAAGACAATGGTACCGGTATCGAAAGCCACCTAAATACACTTTTTTTTAATTTTAAAATATAAAGGAACTAATGTCAATACTTATTGTATTATTTCAAATGCAAGCGTGCAAATTTCTTAGTTTGATATGGAAACAGGCATCTATACAACTTCATTCTATTTTTTCTCAGGTAAAATAACGCAAGAAGTATCATTTGGCAAATGTGCCTGTCAATGATCCACCATCAGATTGTTCAAGTGTTCAATTTAAATGTCTCCTCCCCTTGATTTAAGTAAACGAAACTCAAAATAGGTTCGGTACGACTTTTCCGGATTTGGGATTCTACAGGCATTTTAAAAACTTCATTTGTTTCAAATCCATGCTGATATAGGTGATGTTTTAACGTGATTGTAATTAGAAATGTTCACTTGTGTTTAACTATTAACAAATGAGAACAATTTGGTAATATATTCTAAAGTAATACGGCACTGAAAAGGGCCATTAAGCATTGCTTAAGTGCACTTTTCCTTTGCTTTTACCATTTATTTTAATCATTATGTCATTGTTTTATGTTAATTAACTTAAGAAAATAATTTTAAGCATATATTTCTCACAAACCCAGAAGTTATTTGGCAGCCAAAATTTTAGAATGACTTTAAATATCTTGTTTTATTTTTTTCAATTCTTTTAAAATATGGCCCCTTTTTTTGTAGACTATCTCCCTGCCTGTAGTTGTGACTGTCCATGGCAACCAAGAATGTAATGCTGTAGCAACGGTTTTATGGGATAACCAGTTTAGTGAACCAGTATGTATTAATGCTTTAAAGTACAGTAGTGGTAATACTTTACTCGTGTTGATGATAAGTATTTATCAGTAATACTAAATATTAAAAGATCTACTGAATATTCGTAAGTTTATTATAGGTGTGATATAGTTTATTTTCATAAAATGTGATTTCTTTGTTTGAAGTTCACATCCTGATGAACTTCACCCAAGAAGGAGTAATGTTAAAGTTAGAAGGCACTACTTTGAACTCAAATGGGGAAATAATGCCCCTTAGTTTTTAGCTCTACTGGTCAGAGACCAGAAGAGCTTATGCGATAGTAAGGTGTCCGTCGTCCGTCCGTCTGTCTGTCTGTCTGTCTGTCTGTCTGTCCGTCTGTCTGTAAACAATTTTTCAAAATGCTACTCCTCCTACAGTTTTGGTCCGATTTCAATATAACTTGGCACACAAGTAGATTACACTAAGATACATAATTTAGTGCATCGGTTTTTGATTTCGATGGACGGTGTTGCCATGGTTACTAAAAATAGAAATTTCTGTGAAATTTCTTTAAAACGCTACTCCTCCTACAGTTTTGGTCCGATTTCAATATAACTTGGCACAGAAGTAGACTACACTAAGATACATAATTTAGTGCATTGGTTTTTGATTTCGATGGACGGTGTTGCCATGGTTACTAAAAATAGAAATTTCTGTGAAATTTCTTTAAAACGCTACTCCTCCTACAGTTTTGGTCCGATTTCAATATAACTTGGCACAGAAGTATACTACACTAAGATACATAATTTAGTGCATCGGTTTTTGATTTCGATGGACGGTGTTGCCATGGTTACTAAAAATAGAAATTTCTGTGAAATTTCTTTAAAACGCTACTCCTCCTACAGTTTTGGTCCGATTTCAGTATAACTTGGCACACAAGTAGACTACACTAAGATACATAATTTAGTGCATCGGTTTTTGATTTCGATGGACGGTGTTTCCATGGTTACTAAAAATAGAAATTTCTGTGAAATTTCTTTAAAACGCTACTCCTCCTACAGTTTTGGTCCGATTTCAATATAACTTGGCACAGAAGTATACTACACTAAGATACATAATTTAGTGCATCGGTTTTTGATTTCGATGGACGGTGTTGCCATGGTTACTAAAAATAGAAATTTCTGTGAAATTTCTTTAAAACGCTACTCCTCCTACAGTTTTGGTCCGATTTCAGTATAACTTGGCACAGAAGTAGACTACACTAAGATACATAATTTAGTGCATCGGTTTTTGATTTCGATGGACGGTGTTGCCATGGTTACTAAAAATAGAAATTTCTGTGAAATTTCTTTAAAACGCTACTCCTCCTACAGTTTTGGTCGGATTTCAATATAACTTGGCACAGAAGTAGACTACACTAAGATACATAATTTAGTGCATCGGTTTTTGATTTCGATGGACGGTGTTTCCATGGTTACTAAAAATAGAAATTTCTGTGAAATTCCTTTAAAACGCTACTCCTCCTACAGTTTTGGTCCAATTTCAATATAACTTGGCACAGAAGTAGACTACACTAAGATACATAATTTAGTGCATCGGTTTTTGATTTCGATGGACGGTGTTGCCATGGTTACTAAAAATAGAAATTTCTGTGAAATTCCTTTAAAACGCTACTCCTGCTACAGTTTTAGTCTGCTTCTAATATAATTAGGCATACAAGAAGACTATACTAAGATACATAATTTATTGCATTGGTTTTTGAATTCGATGAACAGTGTTGCCATGGTTACTTAAAATAGAAATTTCTGTGAAATTCCTTTAAAATGTTACTCCTCCTACAATTTTGGTCTGATTTCAATCTTATTTGGCACACAGTTAGAATACACTACGATACATAATATGTATTTCTGTTTTTTTTTTTATTTGGGTGAATGGTGTTGTCATGGTTACTAGAAATAGAAATTTCCATGAAATACTTTCAAAACGCTACTACTCCTAGTTTTCATTTGATTTCAATATAACTTGTCACAAAAGTAGACTACATTAAGATACATAATTCTATTTATTGTTGCATGTTGCAATGTTTCAAATCCAAGTGCTACTTTTCTTTTGTTATACAAACAGACCAGTAGAGCTACAGTCTCATCAGAGACTTCTGGTTGAATGTTAGAATGTAAATATATATGATTCTTTTCAGTTTTCAAAGTTTGTTAGGATATGACCCAATATTTTTTCAAACATGCATTTTTCATAAAGTGAAAAGTATCAGCTAGGCCATATCTTTATAAACTTTTAAAATTGAAATACTTTTAGATAAAGCAGGATATGAAATAGAATTTTAAAAAAAAGAAGAGAATAATTACTGGTAAAAATTATATGTCGGTCATTTATCATGCAACAAAACATTTAGTTCTTAATTATTTGATAGGGAAGGATGCCATTCACTGTACCTGACCAGGTGCCCTGGCCAGATCTAGTCAAGTTACTGGACATCAAGTTTAAATCCATGGCAGAGAGAGGACTCACTTTGGAAAACAAGCAGTATCTAGCTACCAAGCTGTTTGGTGTGTGTTTACAAGAGTGAACTGTATAAAATATTAAATAGAGATGAGTATAACAATGTAATATATATATATATATATATATATATATATATATATATATATATATATATATATATATATATATATATATATATATATAGGGATGGCAATTTGTAACCGGTTAACTGGTTACGCGGTCGGAACGATGGTAATTGGTTAGAAAATCTGTAATCGGTTAGTCGGAAAAAAAAAATTAAAATACGTGTAAATTTCCTTTAAACTCGATTTACAATGTTAAAATACCCTCTGTATATTGATAAGTTATGACGTTTCCACATTTAATTAATTCGGCTGATTTCGAGGTAAATAATTAAGACTCTCAAGATTGAAATCGTCGGGGTAATTGGTCACCTTGTCAAGTGTTAATTGCTGTTAAAACGCCATGTCGTTACCCAGCCTATCCTAAATTTCTTTAATGATATTAATTAAATCTTTGTTGAGTTCTGTTAAATGATTCAAATGATTGCAATGTGTATCTTACCCCATCTATCCTTCGCAGTTATCTGTCAAATTATATTTCAAACACACATAACTGTAAATTAAGTGACAGTTCCAACTCAGTTTCTGTTTATGGAGACAATGCAGAATGACCTTGTGTTGTAACATAATCAATTTATTTGATATCCAAGAGATGTTTCATGGTTTCCTTAATTTTTTCTTGCTTTTCGAAATTGAAATAAAATATAATATGTAGCGTAATAATCAAGCATTGACAGAATATTACTAATATCTTTTTTTCAGTTTTCTTGTGTATATAACTAGAGTTTACTTGAAAAATAAAATATCAGGAATATGTGTATTTTGATACAATTAACCGATTTATCGGTCGGAAAGTCTTGCGGTTAACCGATTAGCAATTCAGTAATCGATTGCCATCCCTAATATATATATATATATATATATATATATATATATATATATATATATATATATATATATATATATATATATATAGATATATATATATTTATTTATGTATATATATATATATATATATATATATATATATTGTAAATTAATTAAATCAATGTTATCATTAATAAAGGGGGATCAATTGATGACAACTTTTCCCAGAAGATGGTGACCTGGAGTGCATTCAACAGAGTAAGTTCTTCAAAAATGAACTTTGGTCACTTCAAAAATGTACTTTGGTCAGCAAGTTTCATGAACATGTAACACTGAATTTGAGAATGTAAAAGTTGTTTTTAAATTAACATGTTTTTTCCCCTAATTTTCAGTCAGAATTAAATTTGTTTTCTGAAGTTAAAAGGTAGCTTTTTTTTGCTCAAGAATTGAAATGTCTTAAACAGTATTTCTTTCTTTTTGGAACTTCAAAACTAGTTTTACTCTTGTAAAATAATTAGTATAAAGTTTAGAATGGGAATAATCTCTGAGTACATGTAGTGTAATGGAATCTCTAAATTTTTCCTTGGATTAAATTGGGGGGGGGGGGGGGGGGGGGGGGTTCATATGAGAGTGTGTGGGTTCTCTCCTGATACTAAAGCCTCTTCTCAAATATCGACTCCATCCCACTGGGCTGTAAAGAAGGGTTACTATCAGTAAAATAAGAATCAACATGAAGGGTGTTTTGTAGGACCCGCTGCAGTCCAGAAATTACACATTCTGGGAGTGGTTCTATCAGGCCATGAAGCTCACTAAGGAACACATGCGTGGTCCATGGAAGGAAGGGTGAGGAATTTCTCACTTTTAAACAGCTTTTCATCTATGGGCTGATTTAGACCTTCATAATTATTTTGTATACATTGTATTTATAAGATTATTGAACTTGCTCAAATTTACTTAAACAAAAAAAAAAAAAGAAACTTTATTATTTGTCTGTCTTTGATCAAATGAAGGATTTCTCCATTTTAATAAGTTTGGGGAAAATTGTATTTATAAATTTACAAAAACAAATGCCTTATACTTTTCTTTAGATATATTAATGGATTCATCAGCAAACTGGATTCCCAGCGACTTCTGGAGAAATGTAACGTGGGAACTTTTCTCCTGCGATTCAGTGACAACTTCATCGGTGGAATCACTATTGCTTGGCTAGCTGAGGATAAAACTGGTGAGACCTATAAATAGGAGAATCAAAGGTCCCACTTGTTTGGACCATTCATCATCTTTCTCATAAAAAGTTTTTTTTTGATAATTAAGTTAAACTCTTTGAGTGTTATTTCATGGGGTGACCTAGCTCTGAGTACATTATAATTTTACTTTACACAGATTAACTTTTGAAAGATTATCTTGTAAACCTTTTATTTTATGTAACACAGGTAAAAAACAAATCTGGAACTTGCAGCCATTCAGTGGCAAGGACTTCCAAATCCGCGGATTAGCTGAGAGAATTAACGACCTGCCTCAGCTATTGACTCTGTATCCAGATATACCAAAACAGATCGCATTTAGCAGATTCATGACACAAACAAGTAAGTGTACAGAGGATTTTACTCATGGGATACCTGAATTGTTTGAATTTTATACTTACTGCTGTTGATGATAATAGTTTATTTTTAATCACTAGAGACTTCACAAACTTTTCTTTCAGTGAATTGTTATAAGATAACTTCTTGTATGAAGGCGAATAAAACTGGTGTTTATATCCTACTTCTTCAGTTAAGAGTTTGTGACAAGTTAAGCTATAGTTGAACCCAGTACCCCTTTACATCTTGGGAGGGGGCTGAGGGACAGTATTAATGAAGTATTAATGAAGTGTTTTTACAGAGAGGTAAATTTTATACAAGGAGTAATGCAAGCTGGATTGACCACTGATCTTTGAATATACATGTATTACAAAATCCAGATAATCCATAAGACCAATAAGCAACTTAATGTGTTCTTGGTGAAAAAAAAATTAATATATGCTAAATGGCTATCCTGACTATAGTAATACAATCAGCTATGGCTTTTTTAGCACACCATCCTGGTATTGGGACTGATGGTTACATCCCACATAACCTGAGAATGGTACCTGATACAACAGACCTGAACGAGTAAGTGGAATTTATTGAAAGGTCCTTTGAGGTGTTATTAGTTATGAGAACAGATTAGGATAATGTGGTGATGTTATACATTGATAGGACACCTATCTATATTAGGATACTGTGGAATCATTTTAATTCATGGGGGGTCAATGTTTGTGGGCAAGCAAAATTTTAATTGTTCATGGGGACATAATTTCATGGGTTACTTGTTTAAACAGTAAATCAATGATTCAGTATGTTTAGAAAATAAATATTCATGGGGATGTAAATTTGTGGGTATTAGGCTGACCCACTAACTCGTGAACATTGATAATTCTACAGTAATTCGGTGATGTTGTATACAGGTAGGTCACCTGTCTAGCGTTAAGGTAATATGGTGATGTTTACATTGATTAGGGCACCTGTCTAGTGTTAAGGTAATGTGGTGAAGTTTACATTGATTAGGGCACCTGTCTAGTGTTAAGGTAATATGATGATATTTACTTTGATTAGGACACCTGTCTAGCGTTAAGGTAATGTGGTGATATTTACATTGATTAGGGCACCTGTCTAGTGTTAAGGTAATATGGTGATGTTTACATTGATTAGGGCACCTGTCTAGTGTTAAGGTAATATGGTGATGTTATACATGGATAGGACACCTGTCTAGTGTTAGGGTAATGTGGTGATGTTATACATTGATAGGACACCTATCTAGTGTTAGGGTAATGTGGTGATGTTTTACATTGATAGAGCACCTGTCTAGTGTAAAGGTAATATGGTGATGTTATACAATGATAGGGCACCTGTCTAGTGTTAGGGTAATGTGGTGATGTTATACTTTGATAGGACACCTATCTAGTGTTAGGGTAATGTGGTGATGTTTTACATTGATAGGGCACCTGTCTAGTGTTAGGGTAATGTGGTGATGTTATACATTGATAGGGCACCTGTCTAGTGTTAGGGTAATGTGGGGATGTTATACATTGATAGGGCACCTGTCTAGTGTTAGGGTAATGTGGTGATGTTTTACATTAATTAGGGCACCTGTCTAGTGTTAGGGTAATGTGGTGATGTTATACATTGATAGGGGACCTGTCTAGTGTTAAGGTATTATGGTGATGTTATACATTGATAGGGCACCTGTCTAGCTTTAAGGTAATATGGCGATGTTATACATTGATAGGGCACCTGTCTAGCGTTAAGGTAATATGGTGATGTTATACACTGGTAGGGCACCTGTCTAGTGTTAAGGTAATATGGTGATGTTATACATTGATAGGGCACCTGTCTAGCGTTAAGGTAATATCGTGATGTTATACACTGGTAGGGCACCTGTCTAGTGTTAAGGTAATATGGTGATGTTATACATTGGTAGGGCACCTGTCTAGTGTTAGGGTAATGTGGTGATGTTATACATTGATAGGGCACCTGTCTATTGTTAGGGTAATGTGGGGATGTTATACATTGATAGGGCACATGTCTAGTGTGAGGGTAATGTGGTGATGTTATACATTGATAGGACACCTGTCTAGTGTTAGGGTAATGTGGTGATGTTATACATTGAAAGAGCACCTGTCTAGTGTTAGGGTAATGTGGTGATGTTATACATTGATAGAGCACCTGTCTAGTGTTAGGGTAATGTGGTGATGTTATACATTGATAGGACACCTGTCTAGTGTTAGGGTAATGTGGTGATGTTATACATTGATAAGGGCACCTGTCTAGTGTAAGGGGAATGTGGTGATGTTATACATTGATAGGACACCTGTCTAGTGTTAGGGTAATGTGGTGATGTTTTACATTGATAGGGCACCTGTCTAGTGTAAGGGTAATATGGTGATGTTATACAATGATAGGGCACCTGTCTAGTGTTAGGGTAATGTGGTGATGTTATACATTGATAGGACACCTGTCTAGTGTTAGGACAATGTGGTGATGTTATACATTGATAGGGCACCTGTCTAGTGTTGGGTAATGTGGTGATGTAATACATTGATAGGGCACCTGTCTAGTGTTAAGGTAATGTGATGATGTTATACATTGGTAGAGCACCTGTCTAGTGTTAGGGCAATGTAGTGATGTTATACATTGACAGGGCACCTGTCTAGTGTTCTGGTAATGTGGTGATGTTTTACATTAATTAGGGCACCTGTCTAGCATTAAGGTAATATGGTGATGTTATACATTGGTAGGGCACCTGTCCAGTGTTAAGGTATTATGTTGATGTTTTACATTGGTAGGACACCTGTCTAGTGTTAAGGTAATATGGTGATGTTATACATTGGTAGGGCACCTGTCTAGTGTTAAGGTAATATGGTGATGTTATACATTGGTAGGGCACCTGTCTAGTGTTAGGGTAATGTGGTGATGTTATACATTGATAGGGCACCTGTCTAGTGTTAGGGTAATGTAGTATATTTATAAATTGATAAGCAAATTTGTACATTGATATGCAAATTTGAGTATTAGATATGCCCATTTTCTGTTGCAGTATGAACGGATTTACCATGTCCCCTGAGAACCCCCTCACTCCTCAGCCACTTGAGGTCAATGAGACAGACTCCATAGCAACATGCCTGTCCCCACAGAGCAATGTCTGTACTACCACTGCTGATGGGTAGGATTTTCTTAAAAGTTCATTGTAAAGCAGTTCATTTCAAAGACCAACCCAACTACAGAATATATAACTATTAACAGTATTTCTATACATTACTACTATATACTTGTCACAGCCATAATTTATTTGTTACTCCTTTTTAATAATAACAATGAAAACAGCTGTTGGGTTCGATTTATATATTTTTTCAATTTCATGGTAAGACTAAAAAGGTGACCTGTAACAATAACAGTAATGAAAATAAATGAATACACTCTCATACCTATACACTCACACATTAAATTACTTTAATATATTTTAACTTTTCCAATGTAATTATCTTTAAGTAGATAATTATTTGATAAGATATTTAATTTATTCAAAGCAACGTTGGTAAAAGTTCTTACTGAATAGGCAGTTAAATTGTCCACATTATAAAATGATAGACTTTGTGGAGTAGGAGAGGAATTCTTCCTTACTCCTGGCTGTCCTAGGGTGGAGTGAATTAGTTAGGGTATTTGGCGCCAAGCATGCGCACCCAATACCAAACTAGTAAAACCACTCACACACCTCTCACTCTAAAATATCAACCAATCATACAACTCCAAGCCTCACCCATTCTGACACAAACACCTTTGACCTTTCACACTCCTAAATCCACCAATGAGCATTCAACCCCATGAATATGAATGAGATATTTATGAAAAGAACACATAGTAAATTCCAGAGGACTGTAATTCACTATGCTTTATAGATGAAAATTATGATGAAGATAATGAAATGATGATTAGTGATAAGGTCATTAAATATTTAATCATACATATAATATTTATCAGAATAATAATTTATTCACCCTGTGACATACTCTTATCTATATCTGTAGAGATGTACATGTGGGATACTGATTGAAATCAATAATTATTGTGATCATTGTTTTTAGGACAACCCTGATGGATTTGGACCAGTATGAATTACAGGAGCTACCAGGCTCAGGAATGGATTATAATGCTGATAATGTGTTTGAGTTGAATGATCAAGACTTTAATGACATCAACTTCACCAGGCTCCTGGAGTCAGCAGGTGCCATGTTTTCAACTCAGAACAACATAAATGGCAATATGAACACAATGAATGGTTCCCCTAACTGAGTACACAGTTAAGTCACTGAAGTGACTTCTTCAAATAAATATACAGTTAAGACATATTGTACAGAGTGAATGGGTCCCTAACTGAATACCAGGGTAAAAAGTGTACCATAGGAATGCCCCTCCAAAGTTGAATAACACAGTGCTGTGAAAGTGTTAAGTGCACATGGGTTCCCAGATTTATTATCATTTATGACAATGTACAGTTTGTGTTGAAGCAAAAACTCTATACTGCTTTTGATTAAACATGTTTCTTCATCATAAGAGGTTTTTTTATAATATAAAAATATCATCATAATTTCAAAGTCTTGATTATAATAGTTAATTAAAATGTATAACTAATTGTGAATTATGGTGTAAATTGTATCAATAATCTAGATATGTACTTCATGTTATTTTTATATATCCAACTAAATGTTGATTGTAGGGTTCACTGTTGATGAATTTGGCTTTGTTAGAGGCCGGTAATAAATGTATTTAAACAAATAATGTGTACAAGTAAGGTTTTTTTGACAACAACACACACATAAAATCTTTATAATTAAAGCAATTCAAAAGTATGTTCTCTGCATCAGTATATTATTTTACCTTATAAACCAGGGTTTCATATGCACAATACTTTGAGCATCAATCAAAAATCATATGATTAAAAATTATTTGGAAATGTTCATTTAAAATATGTTAATAATTTCTGAGGTGTTTTGTGCTTGAAACTTTATCAAAATGTGCTTTGCTTTGATTGGAAATGCCTATCTATGTATTTAATTTATGTGCAAGATTTTAAATCTATTTCTTCAAATATGCTTGTTTTAAACTTTTTGGCTCTTGTGTATGATTACATCTGTTTTTATATATGTGCTATTTTGTTCAGTTTTTTATGCAGTGATACAGGAAACTTTTGACCATTATGAGCTTTGTGTGATATAGTAAAGATGATAAATCCCTGTAACTTCACTGCTTTGCTGTATTTTACCTGTCAGTGAGATTGCATCAGTTCTATATATAGAAAGTTCCTATTACTATGTTATAAATTTAATTGTTTGTTACATATTTTCATGTGTGTAGGTTTGACCTGGATCTTTGTTTCATACAATACACAGATAGTAAATCATTCTAACCTGTTTAAATATTTTCACACTATCCTTACAGTTTTCTTTGAAACAGTACTGCTTGTCAGATATGCTCTTTTATTAGCCAATTATGATATTTATTGCTATCAGCTTTTTTAAATTTGTATTGTATTTGGAGTATCTATTTTTTTTTGTTTGGTTTGTTTATCAATGTGATGTTTACAAGCTAATGATACAACAGAAAATTAGTCTTATTGGTTTCTTGCCAGGATACCGAGGCCTCAATCTTTGTAAATTTTTGTTCGGCAATGAGGACTTTCATATGAAATAACATTGTGCATATATAAAGTGTTTTGTTACCTTTTATATTATATCATGAGAATTGACTCTTTAATTATTTATTTGGTTTTCAACCATTAGTTCATTTTTTCTCTATTAAACATATCTTTTTTTACCCTATTTTGAGCTTGTCCTATAACAACATTCATTTTTTTATGACATAAAACATTTTTTACAACATTAAATTTTAAGCACAGTAGAAGTACCTTCTATGATGAGTTTAAAAATTATTGATTATAGGCAAATGTTTAAGGAAAGTAGTATTTACTATTAAGGATTGGTTTAAGACTTTTGTGAGGTTTTTGTAAGGTAATAGTAATCCTAGCATTACCTGAAAGAGATTGTGAACAGTGTATTGACCAAGTTTCAAGTAGAAGTATGGAATAGTGTGTCCATGATTGAACAACAAGTACTCCTTATAGTAAACAAGGGGGGGGGGTTAAATGTGTAGCTTACAAGATTAGAATAGATAGGTCATTATTTCATGGAGAAAGATTTATTTTTACTGATGTTTAGGGTGATTCGTTTAATATAAATATTTGTGCCATATTTTTTTTTTTGTACATAGTCTATTGAGAATCGCTGTAACCATTGTCATTGGGAATTTAGTGTTGCTTTTGTGATCTGAAAAGGAATGCTTCAAAAAATTGCACAAAATTATATGACAGTATATTAAGTAAAATTTGTTAAGAAGAGTGATTAATATTTAAATTGTTTTCCCAAATAAAATAAAGGTATATTTGATTGTAGTTAATAATTTTCATGATCATAGATAATTTAGATCATGAAGTTTTGTTTTGATTCTTTTATCAGCTCACCTGAGCCAAAGGCTAAACCTTTTTCACCTATTTATTTTTAGCTCACCTGAGCTGAAAGCTCAAGTGAGCTTTTCTGATCACCCGTTGTCTGTCGTCCGTCCGTCCGTCTGTCTGTCAGTCGGTAAACTTTTCACATTTTCAACTTCTTCTCAAGAACCACTCGGCCAATTTTAACCAAACTTGGTACAAAGCATCCCTGGTTGAAGGGGAGTTTAAATTGTGAAAATGAAGAGCGAAGTCCCCTTCAAAGGGGAGATAATCAAGAAAAGACAAAAATTGGGTGGGGTCATTAAAAAATCTTCTTCTCAAGAACCACTGGGCCAGAAAGGCTGAAACTTTTGTGGAAGCATCCTGGGGTAGTGTAGATTCTAAATTGTTCAAATCATGACCTCTGGGGTTAGGGCGGGGCCACAATAGGGAGTCCAAGTTTTACATTGAAATATGTAGTAAAAATCTTTAAAAATCTTCTTCTCAAGAACCAGTGGGCCATAAAGGCTGAAACTTATGTGGAAGCATCCTGGGGTAGTGTAGATTCTAATTGTTCAAATCATGACCCCTGGGGGTAGGGCGGGACCACAATAAGTACTACAAGGGGGGGGGGGGAGATTAGGTGAAAAACGGCAAGGTCAAAGTTACTCAGGTGAGCGTTGTGGCCCATGGGCCTCTTGTTTACCTTTATTAACTATAAGTGCTAATTTCAACCAAGTTTGCCACAAAGCTTCTTTGGATAAAGGAGGTTCAATTTCATTTTGAGTGAATAACTCCTCCCTTATCAAGGGCAGATAATGAAGATATTTTGAAATTAGGGTGGGGTCAACAATACTTTTTTGATGCCCAGAACTCATGGCTCAGGACAGTATAAATGTTGATAAAAGCTTCTTTATTTAGGTAGATTCTAGTTCATTCAAATTATGGATAAGGGCTCTTAATTTTTTACAGGAATGTACAGATTTTTTTAAGTACTTCTTCTTTAGAAAAGAGTTTACACATTGTGTTTGATTAATCAAAAATGTACAGATTTTTTTAAAGTACTTCTTGTTTAGAAAAGAGTTTACACATTGTGTTTGATTAATCAAAAAGAAGAGGTGGCTTGGTTAGGTATTGTGGCCCATGGACCTTTGGTAAAATCCAGTGAAATTGGCTTCCTCAGGTCAAGCCACTGTTCTAGTGCTGTCAACTGTCAATTTCAGAGTCATCCTCGGCTGATCCATATTCGCTCTTTAGTATGCGTGATTTTGACTTTCAAACTTGGACTCTTGCCTGCCAGATTTAGCTTGTACATATAAATTCATGTTACACAACATTAATAGTTGATAAAAATTGCGCCTTGAAAATTCTAGACATTGGCTGTGATATAAATTTCATTTCTTTGTGGTTCAACCCCGATGTTGAACCTTAACGTCTGTCCGTCGGCCCGAGACCGACAAATTCATCGCAATTTGAATTGATTTTAGATTTAAGGGCAGATCACTCTAGCTGCATAAAAATACCAGGGAATCGGAACTCTTTAGTGTGCAGTGTGTAGAGGGTCATTAACCAACTGAAAGAACACTTTGAAAGAACACTTGATTTTGTATAATAATTTTATCCTCAATTTAACTTGAAAGGTACGTTTCAAAATGAAATGAAAATCGTCTTACATATATATTATTTTCATCACAAAATTTTCCTGAGCACATGATTGTGTCTGCCTGAAGATGATGTCACCAATTATCAAGTTTTAATAAATTTTGCAATCACTTAAAACACAATGACTTGGCTAGGAAATATATCTGTATGTCGATTTATTTTACTCCTTCAAAATATACGCAGTTTCGGACCAGGGTAAACGTACATATATATGAATCATTAAAGATATGTTGAATATGAAAAATGATCACATCCAAAAATCCAGACTTATATTCACTAAACGATTTCGAATTTTAGAGCAAATAATTAATATTAAAACGATCTGCACAGACTTCATCTACCAACAAATATGAATGATGCCGTATTTAACTAAAGAAACTATATACTACTTTTTAGAAGAAATTATATTTACACTCATAAAATTCGTTTAATTTTATCTTGTTCTACTATCATATTGTAAATTTTGTATTAACTTACTTGAAATAAATTTTAGAGAAATCCATATGACGTTTTCATTTTCACGGAAAAAAAATAAACTACGACTATTTTTCTATAGGCGCGCTCCCCATTTTAGTACGTAAATGACGAATGAATCATTTGTAGGGGGTGGATGTACATTCATAACTATAAAATCAACATTGATTGTAGACATATCATTCGTCATTTAGTACAAAATTAGTTGGAGAGCACATATGGGTTTTTCTTTTGTTTTACTATGATTTCTGAAAACCCTTGAATGGCGCTGAATTTAAACGTGTAGTTATATCTGTCGAGTAAAATTATGACTATTTTGCGAGTTATACAATTGAACTATTTGTATTACCGGTATTTAGCAAAAATGTTCTCAGTAATATTGAACACATGCACTTGTTTCTCTGCACTGTAGTAATATTTTTACCCCATATAATAGCGTTTACATGATTATCCTATATGGTAAGAATTTATAACAGAAAGAAGTATTCACTTTAGAGAAGAAGTCAGTTTTATGGTCGATACAATGATCTTATCAGCAAATACAATCTATCATTAAGATGCTCACTCCTCCATGGCACCTGATCCCATCTCTGTTGTTTTTGAAGGTCTGTGTTTGCTCTGCTCCCGATTTGTATTGTCTAAATGGACTTTGAGCTTGAATACAGAGGCCTGTTCAACAGAGCGAATGTTCGCGAGCGCTCGCCTAAATTCCTTATCCCTCCAACAGAAATGTTCGCGAGCGCTCGCAAACGTTCGCTCTGTTGAACAGGCCTCTGTTCGTTCATTTATAAAGCTTTTACAGATTAGAGTGTTTGTAATATAAAGAAAACATTCAACGAACCCATTTTGTAACCATGAATTTATAAAAGGACACGAAAGAAGCACTTGGACTCGAGAAAATGGATTAATCTAATTACAAAATTCAAGTATTTAAGATATTTATAATTCCCGCCTTATGAAAGACGAACTTCTATACATGACGTTCTTCTTATTTGACACGGTTATGAATTCGGGGTGAGCCTGGTTCTTGCTTGTCTAGGTAAGCTCAATTGCAAATATACAAAAGTTATAAAACATTTTTTTTATGTGGGATAATAATATATTCAAGTAAAGAAAATACCTAAAATTTTGTGAATTTGCGTTTTACTTTCTTCACAACAATTCCAAAATATTTCTACTTTCGTTTTAACTCTACTGATTTTTATAACAGTTCAAGCTGTTACCTGTTGCCTTTGGCTGTAGTCCTTGTGTGTGTTATTTTTTTACTCGGACTGAATTTCTGTTCAAGACTGGAAAACTGTTGTAATCCCCCCTCTCCCCACCCCACCCCCAGTTTTTATCGAGACTAATGGTTATTAAATGTGATTGCTACCATATCTCTGTACTGCTAAGGGGTATTTTTTGTCGTTCAGAACTTCGCCACTGCCTTTTACTAAGCTTTGCTGTAGCAGCTGCTATATTTCAGAGGGAAAAAAATATGTTTTTCTACATTACTGTATAATTATGCTAGCTCTTTTCCAAACCAATCTCAAAACATCCTAATGTTATACTTGTACAATATGAATATTTTCTGGAATCAAATTGCGTAATTTAATCCAAAAAATTGCCAAGAATTTTCAGACCTATCTCACACTACACGACAGCCAACTGTTTACTGCCCCTGCCAACTGCCAATTACCTATTGTCTTATTTTATCACCCATGCTTGACTACAGTGAAAAAAAATAAGGGGCGGATCCAGGAATGTTTATACTGGGAAGGAGAATGAATGTTGAAAACAAAAAACCGACCTCCAGCAAAGTAAGAGTGGTAACCCTAGCCCTAGCCGATGAAAAATATACCAGAAACACTAAGGAAAAAAACACAAATTCTTTAAGTTTTGTCATGAGTAAAATGATTTCTAAAACCTTTGAGCATTTTATTTTATAATACTCTGTAAAACATAACAAGGTATTTTACTCTCTTTACTCTCTGTATAAATGATTGTTCCTAGGCAAGGAAGCAACTTCTGTGCGGGGTGGAGCCCAACAGGAATCCCTTGATAAGTAATAAAAAAGGTCACAGACGTCATTATTGAGGGAGCACAACTGCAAAGTATATGTTGGCAATTTATTTGGACACCCCCCCCCCATATTTCTATGGGCATTACATTACCCATTAAATTGATGTAATTAAGACACACACATAAAAATTCACTAATAAACATGTACACATACTTTTCATAGGCGTAAAAAGATATTACAAGATAGATATTTTTACTGTAGGAAAAAGTTATTATAATTTTTCAAAAGTATTTTTAGTAGAAATGCATATACCAACAAATCCTATTAAAAGATTGTTCTTTTGTTGTATGTGACAACCCAGCCCTATCCCCCACCACACCCCACACTTAAGAGTTGTCTTCCCTACAGATATAGATAACCCTCCTCCCATTTTCCCGATGTTGTATAACCCTTTAATCTTTTCCTCCCTGTTAAAATTTTTTTTTGGCCTGCAAGGAAACCAAATGTGGGAATTAATTGTTTTGTTTTTAAGAGGAAATACCCTTTCCTCTGATTTACACCTTTCTCGCCTTCACCGTTTAAAAGTTCCTAAATCCGCCAATTTTTGTTATTATTGTAACATTCTTGCTATCAAAAGGTGTGTTCAAGCATGCTTATTTAAGGTATGTCACTCGTGAAATTTGTTATATCAAGGATTTTTTGAGAAGTATATTTTGGATAAGTACTCATATAGTATGACTCAAAATCGCAGAGAAAATTGGGGGTCAGTGTGCATCTAACTGAGCTACGGTACAATTAAGATGACCTTTTTGCACTTAAATTGTAACTCTTTGGTTAATCACTTTAACCGTTATCATATTTTATAAGATGTAACTATGGCAATAAACATAATCTTACTTTACGTAAAATAGTTTGAATAATATTTATCATTGAACAAATCATGCAAATTAATGCGCGTAAATTATTGTATGACCTTTTTGCACTAAAAAAGTCTCCTATTTGGGGTATTAAAAATCTAAATAGGCAATAGAATATTTTCTTGTATCAAACTTTTTACGACTTAAGTGCTGATCGGTCAAAAGTGTCGAGTAGTTTAAAATAATGAAAGAAAAAGTTGGGGTCAGTGATGTAAATTTTGAAATATTGGTCAAAATATGCGATTTTCAAGCAAAAAACTGTGTAAATTTTATCTCGACTTCCTTAATATATCTTCCTTTTTTGGCAATGTTTGTTGAGCGAAGGTGTAAATTTTGTTATAAAAATATAAATTGAGACCTATATTTAATATTCCAGGCATATCATAACGGAAAATATTCTCTGAGTAAAAGTGTGTGAGGCTAAAGTTCCAAGATGTTAAATTTAATAAATATGTAGATTTGCAGAATTTTCTGCTAAATATCCTTCCGCCACAAGAAATAGTCACTTATAAATCTTGCTTCTTTGTGAATTTTTGAGCAGTTTTTTAATTGAATGTTGAACATTTTACATTGTTTAAATTAAATATTTTATAAAGATTGAATTGTAATAAATAGTTTTTAAGTAAGAGGTTCTGACTGAAATTTTCTAAAAGGCTGACGAGTGACATACCTTAAGATATTAAAGGTGAGAGAGCAGTTGACAGTGAGAAGCAGGCAGTGGCAAGATACGGGTGATACAGAAACAGTTGTTAGCAGCAAGCACTTGACAGCTGTTGGCTGTCTTAAAGGAACTGCGGTAATTCTGTATCAATAAGTCGCTTGCATGTTGGTGCTACGGCTATAAACAAAAGATAATATAAGGACCATTGTTCATCTTTTTTTTTTTTGGGGGGGGGGGGGCATTTTTATTTATTTTTGTTTAGTTTTTTCTTCCCAAATTAATTTTAATTTTTTTTTTCGGGGGGGGGGGTATTTTTTCTTTTTTGCTAAAGCCTTCAAAATGGTAGAGAAAGAGGCGATACAAAGATCGAGGTCAAAGTTAGTGATGGACTTCGTGGACGTGTGGAAATATGGACAGCAAAAATATTGTGCTCTTTTCGATCTCACTTTAACTTGCATAGTCCTTGACTTAGGGTAAAAAATAAAACTTTTTAAAAAGGTTTATTAAGTTGACAATGTTTTTTTTTTAGTTTAAAAGATGGCTGTGGCCACACCAGAGACCAAGCTGGTGGTAGCAGCCATAGACTTTGGCACTACTTTTTCTGGTTATGCGTTTGCCATGAGGGATGACTTGGACAAGGACCCACCGAAAACATTCGCACCTCACTGGAATGCTCCAGATGGCGGCCTCATTTCATTTAAGACCCCGACCACTGTCCTGCTGGACAATGATGGAAACTTTGTTGAATTTGGTTTTGACGCAGAGACTAAATATGCAGAACTGGCGGAAGAAGATGAACATCAAGAATATTTCTACTTCCGCAGATTCAAAATGCTGCTCTATGACAAAGTCAGAAAAAACGTAAGTCTGTTGTCGATAATGTACTCTCCAAAAACTCAAAACAACTTCAGACCATTGACAGTATTCTGTCCTTGTATTTATTATATTTTTTAATTTTGTTAATCTCTTACAACGAAGTATACCTACCCTCTCTGTCCACCTTATGTTCTGTTCGTATAAGTATTGTAGACAAAATATTAGAGGATCATTTCATTCTGTTTTAAAAATGCCAGGTGACCCTGTGAAAAAAAAGGACTTCTAAGGGTCAGAAAAAGTCCGTAGTCTCGTGTTTTTTATGGTAAGGCCAGAAAATGCAATTTTAAAAAAGGGCTTGGAGATTGTTCAAAGTACGTTAGACAATGAAATGAGCAATAAACTTATGACTCTGGTGGTCTGATAACACGCTCCTCAATTATATAATTTTTTCCCAAGAATTTGTTTGAAGTATTGCTACCTTAACAAGTTCCTCACAAAAATTGATTTACATTACCAGGCACTTGTGCACGATTCCAGAGGATGGCATTTCTTGTATAATCCTATTGGAAATATTTGAATTGCTGCTGTTAGAATTTTTGATATATATGTTTTTGACAGGCTCGTAGCAACGGTTTTAAAAGGGGGACTTCCAAAACAAAATCTGACAAGCAAAAAAAAAAAAAAAAGAAAGAAAGAAAGAAAGAAAATTTAAAAATTTAAAAAAAAAAACTAGAAATATGTCCATCGGACTTGAATGCCCCGCAGAAGGTATATTAGTAATGCAACATGAAAATTTGTATAAGTGTATGAAGTTTGATGAGAATATATAGAATAGTTTCTTCAAAATTGAAATCTAAAATAATTGAATATAAATGATAATTTCTTGCCAAATTATGTATAAGTGCATAAGCTTACTACATAAAAATATCTTTAATGGTTTCTTTAAAACCAAGCAAAATGCAAATTTAAGAAAAGTGAGGTCAGGGTCACAGGAAAGGTCAAGGTCAAGTTTTTTATGCAGTTGAATAGCTTTCACGAATACGTATCAGCATATTAAGTTTGATAAAAATATCTTAAATATTTTTTTAAAAACTGAGCAAAACACTAATTTAAGAAAAGTGAGGTCAAGGTCGAAACTGAGCTTTGAACTGAGCTAAACGCAAAGCGTGACGGAAAGACGGCAGGGCGGAAGACGGACATGACAAACTCTATATGCCCCGGCCATATTCATTGCGGGGCATAAAAAAAACCTTAATTAACTGATTGAAAAAGTTGGGGGAGGGTCCAACTTCGCAAAATAATCTGACAAGCAAAAAAAAACAAAACAAAACAAAAAACAAAAAACTCTACTTTATAGCAACAAAGTGTGTTATGTGTGTGTGTGTGTGTGTGTAGGGGGGGGGGGGGGGGGGGGCTTGAGATCGTTTTGTCGACTTTTCTCACAGTTGTTATACTAGATATCGTCCTTGGCTAAACAGAGTGTGGAACCAAAATTATTTTGTTTCCTGGCTTTTTTTCCCCCAGAAATTGACCATAGACACAAAGGTACCAGACATAAGAGGCAGGGAGTTGCCGGCTGTGAAGGTGTTCTCTCATGCAATAAGATTTTTAAAAGACCACCTGATAGAATCATTGAAAAACAGAGGATCGATAGTAAAGAAAGAGGACATAGCGTGGGTTCTCACTGTGCCTGCAATCTGGGATGATCCTGCAAAGTTTTTCATGCGAAAGGCAGCACAAGAGGTACATTTTAAAATTACTACATAGTATAATCTAGAAGTACTCAACCGTAAATAACTTAATTCGCAGTAAATTTATCTGAATTACACGAAATCTACTCGCGAAATTATTTTCTCGCGTATATTTGTAATATCAAAGATTATACATTTTAGTATACAACAATAACCACATTCTTGAACTGTTTTTCTCGCTTATAGTGACCGAATGGCTACCGCATGGAAATAAGATGTCGCGAAAATTTGGTGATCTACAGAACTATTTAAAATCTGTCAAAGCATTAATTTATGTGACCTTTGTTCCAAACAGGCAGGTATTCCTGGCCATCAGCTGATGATAGCGTTAGAACCTGAGGCAGCCTCGATTTACTGCAAACATCTTCCGGTGGAGAAATTTGAGGGCACGAACCATATCAGTGTATTTCAACCCGGCAGCAAGTACCTGGTTTTGGATGCCGGAGGTTATGACTTTGTCTTATTTCGTCACAATCTTAGTATTCGAAATGCATTTTTAAAAATACTGCACGACAGTACTAATGCGTTCTATTTTCTTCTTTATGCAGGTGGAACAGTGGATATAACCGTTCATGAAGTAAAAAGCAATGGAAACTTAAAAGAGCTTGATCGAGCAAGTGGGGGTGATTGGGGAGGAACAAGTGTGGATATGGCCTTCAAGAACGCCCTAATGGAGATTGTAACGGAGGGAATGATGGAGGGGTACTGTCACAAGTATACCGCAGACTACATAGCAATGTTCAGGGATTTTGAGATCAAGAAACGCAAACGCACAAGTGGAAACGACTCAAACCCCAAAATAACTTTAAAAATTCCAGCTACGTTTATAGAAGAATGCTCTGAAACTCTGGGTTCCGACTTAACCACCCTCACCAACAGAACCAGGTATAGAGACCACCTCCACTGGGGATCAGACAAAGTCAGAATTGACCTGCCTACGTTTGATAGCTTCTTTCAGCCCGCATGCGAAGGAATCAAAAAACATTTAAAAGAATTGTTCCAATCACCCAAAGTAAGGGGAATCAAGAAAATTTTGATGGTAGGAGGATTTTCCGAGTCGTACATTTTACAGGAATCTGTCCGCAAGGCTTTCCCCGATTGTCAAGTTATCGTTCCCCAGGAAGCTGGGTTAGCCGTCCTTCGTGGTGCAGTCCTATTTGGGGACAAACCCAAGGCAATAGAGTCTCGTATTGCAAAGTTCACCTACGGGATTGACATGAGCACGAAATTTGATGCTGCAAAACACATGGCCTCTAAGAAAATAGATGTAGAAGGAGAGGAATATTGTGAGGACATATTTGATCGCCACGTAAAAAGAGGTGACGAGTTGATTGTCGATGAGGCACAAGCTGAACGATCTTATGTTCCGTTGACCTCCCGTCAGAAAAGTATATCGTTTGGTATTTATACGTCTAAAGAGGACGATCCTTTCTATACCGATGAATGCGAAAATATCGGGAAATTCGTAGTGAACGTACCACTAGGCATAGATGATCGCTCCGTTGAAGCGAGAATGATATTTGGTGGAACTGAACTCACCGTGGAGGCCAAAGTAGTTAAAACAGGGGACATTATCCCTGCGGAATTTGAATTACCAGAAGAGGAAAAGATTTAAGAATTTTTCAGATTTTCTTTCTGATACAATATTACTAGTATTCAATAAATACTAGATTAGACGTTAATAGTGAAGAACCAAACGAATCCACAATAGTTTTTAGATTTCAGGTAGAACGTTCTTAAGTATTTTTTTTATGTATTCTGTTTCATACTGCATATATATATATCACCTAAAATATATCGTTATCAGTTTTCCTTTCTATATCTTCTTTCTTTTTCCCTCCCTTATCATAAAGGCTATTGAATTATCTACAATGGACCATCAAATAATAAAGGATTTGACAAATTGTCTACTAAAGAATTATGGCGTAAAGAATTTAGTGTTTCTTAGTTGTGGGATATGATCGTATATATCTCAGACCAATCTTAAAGAATTTCCTTGGCAGAAAAAAGGTCATCTGACGTTAAAACTGTGATGGCTGTAATTCAGTTTTGTTTTCTATTATATAAACTTGAAAAATTATTGGGACCCCCCCCCCCCCCGGTACCTACGGGTCTGTTCCTTATTGTCCTTGACCTTCAGCAGGGTCCTCAAAACTCTTTTGTAACTGCAAGAATATGGACTGATCAAAATTGTTAACTTAACGACCATAGGTCTTTGCCATATAAGTTGGGTTATTCATGAGTAAGAATCTATATCTCAATTACAAGATGCTAGTTGGTTAATTAAGGAGTTAAGCGTCTATATCTCAATTCAATTCTTTATTCACTTAAACCCAGGTCACTGATACAAAAGGTACATGTTTACAAGTATAGACAATATAAATACAAATAACAGGCAAGAGTATATAAAGAAACAAGAAAAAAATAAAATACAATCTCAATTGTAAGATGTTTGTCTTAAAAATTCTTCCTTTTTCAAACTCGTACAACTTTTTAATGCATACAATTTTTAAACTACCATGACGCTTTGTCAATATCTATTGAGAGCTATAAAACAAGGGAAATACTAAATTGTTACATTTGTGAATGAAAGAAATCGAACAGTAGCCTAGCTGAAGATCTGTAGCTCGCTGGTCCGAAAAAATTGGGATGGACGACCAGAGAGCTACAGAAAAAACTAGTATTAATTGTAACGGGGACCGTTACAGATGTTCCCCAAACGCCCCCCAACTTCCTTTTGGTGTCATTCCCTGTAAGCTTCATTAAATAAGGCAATCAAGTATATTGGGTTTTTTTTACGCATTACACGCGCGCGCACGGGCATGCATGTACAAAATGACCATGTCAACTTGTCTACACTTTTAATACATCTTTATATTCAAATTTCATCAAAAGATAAAAAAAATCGGCTATATTAAGTACATCTGTCATTTTACGCATTGCACGCGCGCGCACGTGCATGCATGTCCATAATGACCGTGTCATCTTATCAACACTATGAATATATCTACATATTTTGAGTATCAAAACATTTCATCAGAAAGTATAAAAGTTACAGCTATATCAAGTATATTGGTCATTTTAGCATTGCATGCGCGTGCACGTGCATGCATCTGCATGTTGACAATGACGTCTTGTCTACAGATGTACATTTATAATATGTCTATATATTCTGAGTATCAAAGCATTATATCAAAAAATGTAAAAGTTATGGTTATATCAATTATACTGGTAATTTAACTCATTACACGCTTACGCACGTGCATGCATGTGTGCGCTGACCATGTCATCTTGTCTACACTTCTAATATATCTTTATATTCTGAGTTTCAAAGCAATTCATCAAAAAATGTACAAGCTAAGTATATATCAATTGTATTGGTTACTTCAATCATTGCGCACGCGCGCACGTGCATGCATGTGCATGCTGACCATGTTATCTTGTCTACACTACAAATATATCCTTATATTCTGAGTATCAAAGTATTTCATCAAAAGATATGAAAGATTTGGCTATATCAAGTATATTGGTCATTTTACTCATTGCACGCGCACGCACGTGCACGAACGTGCATGCATGTGTGCGCTGATCAAGTCTTCTTGTCTACACTTCTTACATGTATTTATATTCAGAGTTTCAAAGCAATTCATCAAAAAATGTACATGTTAAGTCTATATCAATTTTACTGGTTATTTCAATCAATGCGCATGCGCGCACGTGCATGCATGTGCATTCTGACTATGTCATCTTGTCTACACTATTAATATATCCTTATATTCTGAGTATCAAAGTATTTCATCAAAAGATATGAAAGTTATGGCTATATCAATTATATTGGTCATTTTACTCATTGCACGTGCATGCACGTGCGCGCAAAATGACCTTCGTTCCGCAAATCTACATTACATTCCTATTAACCCTAAAAAGGTTTCACCTCAATCGGATGTGTAGTTTCGGAGATCACTCACGGACAAAAAAGTACCCAGGAAGAAAAATAATAATAACTAGAAACCTTGTTGCCATGGCAACAAGAAGGTCTTCCGTCCCTTCTCTGTCTTCATAGAAGTTGATTCCTCTTTAAACAACATGTTATGTTGTGCATTCCCTGTCACACCTTCATACAAAATTCCTTCGCCATGCGCTCGGCACTTTGAAGTGAAAGTTGCGGATATTTTGGATGAAACCTTAAAAACCGAGGCCACGTGTCAAGGCAGGTGTTGGCACGGATAAAGATCCCTCATTGCTCAATGGCCCTAAGTGCCGAGTAAAAGTTTAAATTTGAAGCCCTTCACCGCGGTGGTCACGTCTCTATATAAGTGAAAAATTCTCGAATGGGACTTAAAACAACATACAATCAATCAATCAATCATACATAAAATATAATTAAACATTTATATTTTGAAAATATTGCAAATCTGGAACGAAAAAAATACGAAATATAATTTTAGGGAGGGGGAGGACCTATGTTCCAAAACATCTTTGTGTGAATTTTTTTAAACTTTGAGATTCTCACACTTAATTGTACAAAATACAAAATTATGTTAAATATTTTTTTTAATTTAAGACCTACATGTATCTACACTATTTTGTTTTATTTTACCCGATTTCATGCATTTCAGGTTACCCCCCCCCCCTCCCTGAGTCAGCACCACACACGCATAACAAAATGATTGACACTTCACGTGAAAGCATATTTTTTCACATACTGTTTCAAGTATACAGATTTTTATGTGTTTCATTGTGTTAATACACTGTATTCCATTAATTAACCATACCTTTATCCGCTAAGTCGCTTTGAGCTCTTAATTATGGCGGATCTTGCTCTAAACTAAATGTCATTGAAGTTACCTCTCATTTGAAATTGCTATTTTTATTTAATCAAGATGAGAAAATAATAAATTCTACTTTCAAAATATAATTTGACAAATCTCCGATTTGTGATTCAATTGCATAGGTACCTAGCTACATTAACATCTTTACCTTATTTTGTCATATCACACACATATGCACATTAATTAGTGCAAAATTCAACTGCAAAGTCTTTATGAAGGAGTAAAAAGACACAGTACCATTGTGAAGTCAAACACCATTGCTCTGACGTTGAACGACATAGCCCCCCCCCCCCCCCCCACTTAAAGATAAAATATTACATTTGAGCCCAAACAACAGTGTGAAAAAAAATCGGACATTCTTGGGATTGAATAGTGCAAAATTTAACTGCAAACTCTTTATGAAGGAGTAAAAAGACACAGTGCCATTGTGAAGTCAAACACCATTGCTCTGACGTTGAACGACATAGCCCCCCCCCCCCTGTAAATATAAATAAAATATTACATTTGAGCCCAAACAATAGTGTGAACAAATTTGGACATTCTGGGGATTGAATACGAGTTGCCCGCGTGAAAATTCAACATGCTTACCATTACGCTATCAAAGACCATCGTATCAAAGTAGCAAGCATAAATATCTAGAGTACGGGTTAATCTATTTTTGAATAAATTATATATTTAGCATTCTGATAAGATTCTCTATTTAACCTATAAATATCATAAAAAAATAATGAAAAAGAAAAAAGTTCAAAAAACTACCCTTTTTAAATCACTTCCTGTGACGACCGGAAGTGGCGACGACACACGAAATGTTTCCATCACACATCTACAAATCACCTTCTATCATACCTGAAAGTTTCAGACTCCTACTTTTAACAGTTTCCGAGAACATTCACGGACTAGATTTTTAGTGGAAAAAGTGAAAAATCGTAATAATTCGTGACCGGAAGTGAATTTTTCCAAACTTTTTCAATATTTCAAAATGGCATGAGATAACACATCATTCCTGAAAATTTGGCTGAAAATGATTGAGTAGTTTTTGAGATATCGCGATTTGAAAAGGTCAGAAAAATAAAAATGAAAAATAATAATAATAATAATAATAAGAAACAGTAGAATCACTATAAGGTCTTCCGTGAAGACGGAAGACCTTAACTAGAAACTCATTGCGAGCAATGAGAGGTCTTCCGTCTGATTTTGAAAATAAAAACGTAAATCCAAGCTGAAAAGGTGATAAAAGAAATTCAGACACTCTGGAGATTTAACCCTGGTTGTCAGCATGAAATCCAACGTGCTAACCATTAACCATTCACTTTTTTGCATCACTTCCTGTCACGACCGGAAGTAACGACGATACAAGATTTCCTCGCAATTCAAATAAAATGATGACTGACTATCAGTTCTGAAAGTTTTAGACTTCAGTCGTTTACTGTTGCCGAGCAATATCGTGATAACAAATTCTAATTCTGAGGACAGGTAAACACGCGACCGGAAGTGAATTTTATAAAAAAAAAAAAAATCTCTGACGTTTCTCTATACATTTGCAGTATCTACAAAATGCATAAAAACATTTCAAGTACTTTATCGTTAAGCAATATTTATGAGAAAGTTAAATATCGAAATAACGTAGTTTATCATCTAAAACCGGAAGTTGACGTTTTTGTTTCCGGTGGAAACTAACATATTTCAATACAGCGAAAGAGATGCAATAAAGTGATGCTAACTTCAATTTAAAAAAAAAAAGTTGAAATTTTTGATTTCTTTGATCACTTCCTGTGACGACCGGAGGTTACGACTGACGCGTTTAACCAAAATGGTTTTGCCTACTCCTCAAGGTCTGCTGCTCATATAAGTCTGGTGTTTTAATCTTTTACCTGTTTTTGAGATCTCGCTCAGACAATATTCTCATTTTGAGGACAAA